TTTCTAAGATAGATCGAAAGCCCTGGTTTTTAGCTACAAGATGATATGTGTTTCATTACTATAGCATCGATATTCGCAGAGAAATTCACGTTTAAATTCAAAATGTCCGTGAAAATTTATGCCGTAATTTTTCCATAAATTTTCACGGACGTTTTGAATTTAAGCGTGAATTTCTCCGCGAATATCGATGCTATAGTAATGAAACACATATCATCTTGTAGCCAAAACCAGGGCTTTTGATCTATCTTAGAAATATCTTAGTAGAAAATCACTCCCCGTCACTTAAATCTCAACCAAAGTTAAAAAATCAAATTTTTCAGGTGGAAATTTCTGGAGGTCATGTGATATTTCCGTAAATCGACGTCTAATTAAATTTCCTGATGGAGATGATGGTGATATAGATCTGTATTAGGTTTCAAGAATGCTCCTACTATTCCAGAATATAAAGTATGTACACAAATATTACAAGAATAATTCATTATTCCAGTTAGACTTTGATATTCTGAATAAGAATTACTATCTGATATTTTTTTTAAAGAACAATGTAAAAAGATAGGAGATAAATATCATTGTTTTGATAAAGAAACTGCTATTATTTCTATAGGTATAGGAGATAAATAAAAAAAAGAAATCTAGTCCAAGGTTTTTTGCAAGAATTACAGGTAGCAATTCTTTATTCAGTAATATGATTAGTATTTGAATTAAATGGTAAAGAAACATTTGGTAAATTTTGTTGTAAAGGATAATTGACTGCTGTTTCATAAAGTATCCAAGATATCTTATCAGAATACAAAAGTCTTCCAAAAAGACACATAGAATATAAGGCCACTGACATCAAATCTTGTTTTGACAATGATCATATAATCATTGTAATTTTGTAGATGGTCTCCAATAAATTATTTGAGATGATACTGGTAATTACAAATTGAATATGTAATAGAAATTATTTGTTTATCAAAAAAAGATGAAAAGAATTAATTTGTTTAAAATATTTATAAATTATTTCTGATATTAAAAAAAAATGTATATATTAATTATTTTGTTGTTGTTCTGGTTGTTCTAGTTGAAGAGTTTAAATTATTCATATTTGGAAGGAGATTGGAGTTTAAGGCTACTGTAAGGATTGAGTTTTGAGAAAAATTAGTATTTGAAGCTATTGCAAGAGTTGAAGGTTGGTTTGGAGATGAATTTGTTAATCTTCTCCTTGTAACTTTGGATGATGTCCCTCTTGTTACTCCATTTGATCTTCTTGCATTTAACCAAGGAACATTCATGGTTTGGTTATTGTTTGTTGTTCGTTGTTCTATTATTATTAATTAAAGAAATTTCTTCTAAATTTAAAACAAATTTAAAAGGAGATATTTCCACATTTTTTATAGGATAATTTATGGAAAATATATAATTTATTGTTCCAACTAAGATGGCTGAAATTGACCTTGAGTTTTAGTTAATTGAACTTGTTTTGTTTGTGAGGTATCAGTTATTGGTTTTATGCTTTACTTCTATCCAGAAATTCTTTGGTTCCAATTCACCTAAGAATTCAAAATCTAAAATGGAATAATATCTTCATTTCTTACTGTTTGTGTCATTATTCCAGACATCAATGTATTGATCCCAGTTACAGGCATAGTATCAAAATTTAGTTCATTTAATACTTTAATTAAGGTAGCAGTTTAAATTAAAATAAAAAAAAATTAAGAATTAGTTGTATTATTTAAATTAATTGAAAGAGTAAAGAAGTGTATGAGAGAAATGAAGAGTGAAAAAGAAATAGAGAGAAACAGAAAGAACAAGAGCAAAGATAAGTGAGAATAAGGATAAAAGAGAGAAAGTGAAAGAGAGAGTAACAAAAGAAAAAGGATAGGAAATAATAAAGGTGAACAAAAGGTAAGATAAAAGAGAAACTTACTAAATACCAGCCTTCCTGAGTGATAAATTTATCCTTTAGAAATATTATTTGACCAATTTTGAAGTCTTCAATATAGGTTTCAACTTCTTGGTTTAATGGAACAAAGGCTTTTATTCGTATATAGATAATTTCGGAAGGGTCATTATTGTTTAATTTTGAAATTTCTGTTATGTCTTTTAAAATAAATTCGCTTGTATTCATTTGTTACATGACATGCGAATAATTTTACTGGCCTAAGATAGGAACTTGAAAAATCTTAAATAAAATTTAATCTAGCAATTAGATTTAGATGGAAAAAACTTTTTATGGTTTACGTACATCACATGATGCGATTTTAGCCAATTATAATTTCGAAATATGGAATTACATGATTAAATCAGATTATGAATTTGAAAATTAAAATTCAATGATATTATAAAATGTTAAAATTTATTGAAATTCTTTTTTCAATCAAAAAATTACAATGGTTTACTATTTTAATATATTCTCAATTTTGATAGGATAATTAAATACTGTAACTTCAACTCCAGCAAAACTTAATCAATTTAAATCAGACCAAAATTTTAACTGAAAATTTTGAAAGCTTAGATTCTGAACTATCAATTTCTATGGTTAGAATTTTTATTCTATATTTGGAAAATAAAGGTTCCGCACTGTGAAATAATATAACAATGGTGAAATAAATGATATTGATTGGTTAATTATTAATTTAAAAAAAGTATTTATATTTCAATTAAAATTATTTTTTAAATAAATAAATATTAACTTTTTCGTCTTCGTTTTTATTTTTTATTTTTTAAAAAATAATCAAAAAAAAAAATCACCTTGCTCATTTATTTTATTTTATTTTTTCATGTTTTTTCAAAATGTTGGAAATACACATGAAACAAAATATCAAAGGATCGAGTATGGTTATTTTAGATATAAATATTTTTTTAAATCTGGTCATTATTCGGCGCAAAATTTGTGATTTTGATTTCGTGAATTAATTTTTATGAAAAAAAAATTTTATTTTTTAAAAATTATATGAATGCTAACTATTCTCTGGGTGGATGAATGGTGGGGTTATTCTTCTAAATGGTATCGATATCAAGTACGTTCTCGATTCGAAATCGACTATTATTTAAATTCTTGACCTTTTTTTTCCATTTCGGTCACGAAAATCTTCCCAAAAAAAGAGCTTCATGGGCAAGTGTTTGAAAATCTTTTTCTTACACTTTTTTTACTATATAAATAGATCATAACAACCTGAGCGAAAATAACATCTTTATGTTATTTCTGGTTATGGTATCTCTATCTCGGATTTATCGGATTTATGAATGCGTCGTTATACCTGAGATAAACCTATATGGTTCGAGGATTTTGTAGTAAGCAAAAAATAAATAATGTTCGGTATCTTTTACCCACTGTGTGTATATATGGATGCACTACTGCGTCTATTATTTGTCTTTAGTAAATTTCTAACCCATTTGTGTAAATATCCTACATGCCACGAATTGTATTTATTTTGATCACCAATGTTTGTTTTAGTATCAATTTAACCTCAGTTAAATATTTAAATATGTAATCTCAGTTAAATATTTAAACATCTACTTGCCGTTATTTTCTTATGGAAAACTCTTCATTTCAAAATCAATAAATTCATCGTGCTGACTACTAAGATATTTTGTCATTTATTATGGAGATACCCGAACATTGTGGCGATGGATCATTTGAATATAAAGCTTTTGTACCTTCGATAAAAAGTCAATTGACTCCGTGGCCGGTAGGCGTCGCAGCCCTAATTGTCAATTCATTAATATTATATCCCACATATCAATGGAGATGGTTCAGTATTTTTTCAGCTCTATGGTCTCTCATTGGAGGTATAACATCTATGCTGCGTGTATTTCTGGCAAAAAAAGGTCAAATGGTCATAGCACACAGTATGCCTTTCAGCTTACCTTTGGCTATTGGAGCTGGTATTATCAGACTTACTGTTGAAGATGGAAAAAAGGATTTTAAAGAGAGATGGAAAACATTATTTGCAGTGGTGATTAGACAATTCCCTTGGCATAAACCATTAAAAACGGATGATATATATGATATAGAAAAAATATCAAATTCTAATAAAACTGATGATATAGAAGAAACACTAAATTCTAATGAAACGGACAATATAGAAGAAACATCAAATTCTAATGAATATCGCAAAATCATAGAAAAATCAAATTCACTTAATGTATATCAACGAATCGAAGAAAGATTGAGACTAATAGCATTAGTTATTGATCTCATAGCAATGGTAGCAGGTGCAGTTCGTGTGTGGGAATGGCACCATTTGTGGGATTTGCCGTATTCACCATATGATTCAACGCTTGATACCATATGTTTTTGTTAATATTACAAAAGATGTCACTATTTCCTATGATGGGATTTCCTGTGCATTTAACATCAATGATTGGAGCAAAGTTGATATTCCCAATGATTACAATAGCTGTATGTCATTCTTACCTTCAATTTCGTCGCTTCTTGTCTATACATTTACTATATTTTGTATATTTGTGTTACTCGGGTTAATTTTTATGCGTGGCTATTTCATCTGGATGGTGGGTTGTGGTGGGGCCATTGTTTTGATAGTTATTTCTGGACAGCAGTCTGCATACTCAACGAATAGAAATTGTGTTATATTTGTTAGCGAATTTTTTGAACAACGTACTTGGCAAGTCATTGGTCACAAAAGTTTAGTTTATTTATGGTTTTATCGGAATAATTTCTCAAGAATTCTTACCCAACTGTTCACTGCTCGTGGATGATAATGATACGTTTACACAAGGAAGTCAAACTTTCTTCATCTTTTTATTTATAATATAAATTTTATGTATATAAATTTTGTGCTAGTTCATATAAAAATAATTTTATGAAAAATCAATAAAGTGTTCTGAAAATTGAAATGTTAAATTCCTGACTTTGGTTCCAGTCTCAATTAAATTTTTTTCTAAGGCCAGTTTTTCTAGAGACAAGATGTCACTAGAACTAGATAAAATTTTCGCTGGTGACGGAACTGTCGACGCTTCCTTGAGAGTTTCTTGATTACTTTTTTATATCTGTCACTAGTAAAAAGTATTAATATAGAAAGAAAAACAAAACTTACCTACCCATATATCTACATTGAAGTGTTGGGGCAGATGTGTTTATAAAAAATAATTATTAAAATTCCAATGCAATTGACTTATCCAAGATGCCTCCGGTAATAAGCTATCAGATGATGCCCTGTTATTGGGAGCAGAAATTCGTTTCAAATTCTTTTAACCAAAAATACTAAATTTAAAAATCAGAAAATATTATTAGTTTATTTAATAAAAAAACATCAAAATTAATACTAAATTACCTTAAATTCTGCATGGATTAAAGCTTGCTTAAAAATTAAGCGACTAATAAACGTATATAATAATTTTCAAGCGTTTGGACTTTGTTCGCTTAATTATTAAGCAATAGATCTGAGTTGATACAAACTTTAAGGTTACTTAATATGGTTTAACAAAATTTATTATTTTCAACGTTTGATAATTTTTTTCGGATTTTTTAATAAATTTACTATAAGGTAAATTTTTATTAATAGGATTCCTGATCAAACGATAATTAACCAAGATAAATATTAAAACAGATGCAAAGCTCTTAATAAAATCTACAACTTTGTTTAATACTACTTTTATTATTACCCAGTAAAAATTGACACTTTTCTTAGATATGAATAGATCAGTTTTTAATAATATTACTTATTTTTCTTAAAAAAAATTGTTAATAAACTACGTAATTATTCAGGATTGGTACAAGTATCTTGAAGGTTTTGGTTTTAACCATACCTTCGTGGGAGTACTGAAACATCCACTATTGGCTGCATTAAGAGATAGTTTACTACCTTTGACAAGTGATTTGGTAGCAAATACAGTATATGGATAGTTTAATTCATTCTGTAAATAGTTATTTAAAATTTTAACTAGTAAAGCTTATCTGCATGGTCAGGGTTTGAAAAAAAAAAGAAATTAATTAACTGATTATATTTTATTCAATAATAATTAATAAAAATTTTTAATATTTTGTAGAGTTCCCTTTATTTATAACAGCACTAATTCTTTTTGACATACTTTTACTAATTGAATAAGTAAATTTTTAATCAATTTTATTTTACTCTTCTTTCATTGTTTCAAAAATTCAATTTTATTTTTTGGGACCTTTGTATTCTAATTTTTTTCTAATATATATCACAGATTTTCAATTGGAAAGACTTTGAGTAAAGCTTCTCAGGTGTACTTTCTATGTAGGCTTTCTTCACAAGCGAAGCTTCAATTCCATTGCACAATAATATGCAAACAGGCGGATACAATTTTTGATCATTTGACATGTGAACTCCGCTGAAAAATTCTTATTTTAGTGCCAAATAACTAAATTAATGCTTTATTAAAATAAATTATATTATATTATATTATATTGAAATCACATAAGAGAAATATTATAATTATTATAATTGAAAAGAAATAGTCGAATTTTCATCAATGCTATTAACTGTTAATGCTGTTCATTTTTCATCTGGTACTACAAGATTTAAACCAGTTGTTTAGTTATTTTTCTCTGGTAATCTTTTAATCACAATTTATAATTCTTGAAGCAGACACTGGTCAAATAACAAAAAAAAAATAGGCAAATTTACAATAAGAATTGTTGTCAATTTTTGATCATTTGACATGTAATACTTTTATCAAGAACAATAAAATGTGATCTTCATCTCTCTCTTGATATATGTAGAAATAACACAAATCTCAAATATTTCTGATCTATATATGTTACTTTATTAATGTTAATGGCAAGAATCTTTATTTTCCAAAACCCTTTTAAAGGAACTTTTTCTCAGATGTTTATCATTAAAAAGGTTGTTTAGGTTGGCAAGTATTTACACATCAAATGATTAAAAATTGGCAAAACTTCACAAATCATCCTGTCAAAAAATTCTACCCGTTTTTCTTTATTCAACCTGTGTATAAATCTATAAACAATCAAAACATACAGACCTCTACAACTATCATAACCATTTTTTGTTATTAATCACAAATTTAAGGTCTACGAATACGTAGGGATCTTCTCAATATATATAGAGGATTATTTCCGGATTTATGAAATTAAAACTTTAGGAAAACATAGAAAACGAAGGATTTTTATAATGTTAACTGTACGTCCAAGGACCAAGTATCCAGGTAAACAATGTAAAGCAGATTATCCACTGAGTCTGTGTGGGTTTCACTTATTTTTATCACTTCAAGTGAGTCCTTCATGACGCTTACAGTTTATCAATGAAAATCTTAATGTCACCATCTAAAATTCTGTCAAGTTTATCAAGAGATCTCAGCGTATTGTGGTTGATTATTGTTTTGAAAAGTCTGTAACTACGCAGGTCTGTTATTATGGAAGTTTTCTAAAAATAATGTTGACATAAAATACTGGCACTTATTTTTAACAAATATTAGGAATTACATGTTCCTCAGAGCATCAATATCTCATTTTGTAAACTTGGCTACTGAAGGGAGATTTGGATTTCTTGTTCTTTTTTTGTAACAAAATGACTTGGAGCGTGTTGCAAAACGAGAGCATTATTATCACGTGATTAATGTAAATGTGACGAAGATTCCATTTGTTTGATTAAAAGCTAAAGTACGTTTTTTAAAAGTTTTGATTGGAATTTTCAGATTCATTATTAAAATTATTATTATTTTAATTATAATTTATAAATTCAAAGGAAAAGAAGCATTATCTAAAGTTCCTTTTCCTTTCCGAATCAAAGAATAATTGAGACAGAATAAACAGAATAAACAGATAATATTTTTTTTAATAGTCTTTAAGATTATTCAATAAAGATCTATCTTATTTAATTATTTAAATTATTAAAATTATAATAATAATGATATGATGGAGATCTTACTATCAATTGTAGTCGATACAAAATCAATCGTTACGTTTTATTAATTCAAGTTTTTTTTTTCTTTATTTTATTCATTGAAATCTAATAATCATAAATTTATTCATTATACTTAATTAAGCTTAGAATAATTATAATATGTACAAGAGATGTTTTCATTTTTTTTTTATTTGTATTTATAATTTAATTTATAGTACAACTGTTCAATTATCAAAATGAAATCCAAACTTTCAGAAAAAAGTATTGGCTTTTTTTCAAAGATAAAATTTAATTCTATCAACCAGAGAATTAATATTTAAAGGTGAATTTGATGTAAATAATAATCATTATTATATTTATTATTAACTTATCATTTATTATTATATTTATATCATATAATTACGTGATAATTTATTTTATTTATTAAATCGTACTTCATTTCGAAAAGTATTATATTGATATTGTACTCTATTTGATTTTAGCATTCTTAAAGCGTTTTAAAAGTACTACGATTTAATTGTTAAGTTAAAAATAATTTTATTAGATTTTGATATCGTATATCGTGTTCATGTTTTATTTTAAATAAATCTTGATTCTAATTCTATTATCGTCATTATTGTCGTTATCGTCATTATCGTCGTGACATTTTAATCATTTTAGGAACTCGTATTGTTGTTGTTGTTGTTGTTATTGTTATTATTATTATTATTGTTATTTTCATCTTTTAAGTCATTATCAGAAGCCGCAGCTGTGATAGCATTATTAAAATTTTTCCATAAGGTCGCAACATTTTCAAATTCTGTTCCAATTGCCACTACACCTTCAAGATTTTTATTAAGAACAGCCATATTACCGATAACTTGTTCTATTCCCTTTTAATATTTAATATTTTTTTTAAGGCATTAATATATGATTAAAATATAATTAATAATTAAATATATAATTAATAGCTACCAGAACTAAATCATTAATTAAAATTTCTCTCTGTTTTTGAAAAGGTGTTTTTTCGTTCGTGTCCATATTTCAAGATTTTCACAGCGTTAATAAAAAAAGATTTTTAAGTTCTTAATTGTTAAGGGTATCGTTAACATTAATCTGTTATTCATTTATTAAGTTATTGGGTACGCGTTTAATTTTTAAAAAATTTTCCGATTGGTCAGTTAATTTCGAATAAACTTAACTTATTGGAGCAAGACTAAGTAAACTACTTCAAGTTTTAATTATGACCAACCCTCAAGATCTAAAGAATGTTATTACTGAAAATGTAAATGATGCCCCACACGAAAGAATTAACAATAATTACAATTTATCAAATTTATCCAATGAACTTGAACATATAAATTTGAATAATGATAATAATGATGATGTTTTTAATTATAATGATGTTTTTAATGATGATGATGATGATTCTGATTTAAGTGAATTAGAACCTTTTGGATATGAGTTATTAAATCAGGAAGATGATAGAAATGAAGATGAAGGTGAAGATGAAGATAATGAAGATGAATATGATTTACAAAATAGTGAAATTCTTAATTTAAAAGTATTTGGATTTCATTAAATTTCTTTTTTAATGTGATTATTTATAAATAATTTAAATCAATTCATTCTATTTCTAGAATGAAATACCAAATGAAATACCAAATAAATTACAAATTTCTCCTAGTAATGAGGAAAAAATATCTGATGGTAATTTTCATTAATTGGATCTTATTTTTTTTCACACTTTTTTTTTTCAATTACAACAAATTTTATACTACAGGTGATTTAAATCTTATTAATTCAATAATGAAGAATGTGAGAATTCCAGATTCTTCAATACCAGGTTAGTTAATTAGTTAATTAATAATAATATTTTTAATATTTTAATATTATTTACTATTTACAGTATATTATTTATTATTTTTTTTTATTAAGAATGGGCAAAAGTAATTCCAGAAGAATCTTGGTTACCTATAATTATAAATAATAACAACAATGATAATAATAATTCAACACTTATTTAATGTTAATAATTAAATTGCAATTTTAAATAATATTATTAAAATTAAAAAGATAGATTTGAAGTTAATTATTTATTAAATTAATTAAAAAAAAAGAAAAAAAAAATTTTATTTGTTTGAAAAAAAGATTTTTAAAAAAAACTGGCAAATTTCTACAATACAAAATTTATGAATTATATAAAATTACTATTTTTGTAAATGTATGTAAAGAAAAAAGTAATTTAAATATACAATAATAAAAATAATAAACTATAATATAACTTTCTTTATTAATTAACCTATTAATATTAGTTCCTATAATTATTTAGGAATCCGTCTAACAATTGCTTAATTGATTACTTAGATTCCCGCTTAGCAATTGCTTTAGGTTTATTATTGGAAAATAAAAATTTAAATATTAATTCTAATAACCACGCTCCACAAAAATCGAAAAGCATAATACCAATTAATTGAATTTTAAACTGTAAAAAAAGTCAAAATTAAAAATTTTTAGAATTATTATAAAATATTCAGAAAAAAATATAAATAATTATTCTTATCATAATTACCTCATTCTTAAGAGGAACCAATTTCAAAAAGTCATTTAAAGGTAAAACTATAAATTTTATTAATAATTTTAATATTTAAATATTTAATAAACAATCAAATAAAAAAAAATTGATAACAAAAATAAAAAATAAATTACCAATTTCACTAGCACAAGCGAATGCGACTGTACCAACCGAAAATAAACTCCAAAAAAGTGGTAAGTTCTCCCTTAAACTTTCTCTGAAAGGATGTCCCTTTATTATATATAAAGATAAAAAATAATAAATTTTTTTATTTTAATAAAAAATAATAAAAAAATATTATTCAAAAATATATCAAATGCAAAAATTTTTACCTGATAATTAATAACAAATGTAGAAACTTGCATAGATAATGATATTAAATATACCGAAGTATTTAATAAGCTAGGTTCAAATTCACGTTCCAAATCTACGCTTGCTTTCCTAAAATATAATAAAGATATAAATAAAAATATTTTTTAAAAATTTAAAAATTTCGTTATAATGAAAAAAAAAATAATAAAAATACATACTCTTCATACCGAAACACATTATCTACAATGTATATTAACGAAAAGATGTGAATGGCAAATTGTCCAAGAATAGAAAGAATAATATAAAAGTTGAATATATTGGTTTGCGGTCGTTTATCCGAAAGTTTTTCTAAAGGCTAAAATAAACATGAAATTAAATATATGAATGAATACATATTGCGATAAGTTAATAAAATTATGAATGAACAGGTCAAACAATAAAGTCAAATAATAATTACTTTTGCCTTTGATATGCAAAGGAAACAAACAGCCAATAATATCCCAGAAATTGTATATTGTCTAAAAATGTAAAAAAAAAATGGTAAAATTAATATCAAGAAAACACATATGTCAGTGTATATTCGTGTCTATGCGCTAAATAAAAAGAAAATAAAAAAAAAAACCTACATATCACCAAATTTAATCCCTTCTAAATACAAAACGCTCAAACTATAAGCTGAAATTAAACAGTTAAGAGCTAAAATCTTATACATCTGAATAGTAGCAACCAAAGTGCAACGACCTTGTCGCACAATATTTGCAACTATACGAAATGGTAAAGATAAAATGAAGTAAAGTCAGAAATCTCCAGTAAAGAAATAATTATAATAATAATAATATAACTTGTGAGTTCAGACGATTTTTTCCTTACTTGCTACAACATTAGAAAGTTTAGATGTAAAAGGTGCTGCTACTGAAGCATCTCCTAATTTTATTGTAGGAGGTTCATCCGCATCAAAATCTTGAAGTAATTGTTCAGCTAATTGACCCATCTTTATTAATTTACAATTTTTTTTAAAAAAAAAAAATAATAAGAAAATGAAAAAAAAAATAACTAAAAATTATAAAAAATAACACGTTTTTACCTGTGGCGGTGGTCTTCTCTGGTTACCACCAGCAGCAGCATTTTGTTGTAATTGTTGTGTATTTTGTGGGAATAAATGTGCGATAGCTGGTGGTGGTGGTGGTGGTGGCATATTAAATCGTGAAGCGAATTTTATTTGATTTTCATAAACATCTTTAATTCTCTGTATACGTTGATGTTCAACAATTCTTTTTAAATCTTCAGGTTTTCCATTAAGAAGAGCAACTCCAATATGAGCTTGTTTAAGAGCTCCGACATCATTTGTACCATCACCACACATTAATGTAGTATAACCGGATTGCTTAAGGCTTGTTAATATAAATTCCTAGGAAAGGAACCATAAAAATTATAAAAAATATAATAATTAATAATTTGACACATATATTCTTTTCTTTATATAGGCAGATAGTTACCTTTTGCCCCGGAGACACTCGAGCATAAACCCAAGTGTACGTAAATAATTCTTTTATCGATGGATTATTTTCTAATCGTGATAACGCTGCACCAGTTATACATAAGTCATAATCACGATATATACTTGAATCTAATTTTTCGGCAGGGTTAACTGGTATAATAATTTCTTCATCAACTGATTTCAAAATAAGATCTTAAAATAAAATGAAATTAAGATATCAGAAAAAATTATATAATAAAAGAAATATAATAATTTATTATAATTTATTATTATTATAAAAAAATATCTACCATCACTATTCTGGGAATCTTCTTTAACGTCCATAATTAATACGTCACGATCAATAATTTCAACTTCACGTGCGACATGGCAAGCTGTCAATGGATTATCACCAGTAATCATTACAGACTACAATTTAAATAAATTGTTAGAAATAATACTCAAACGAATAAAGTAAACGGTCAAAAAATTTATTGTTTAATGTGTGAATATATATATACCCTATGAGATGATTCATTTAACATTCGAATAGTTGAAGCAGCATCTTCTTTAAGTGGGCATGTGAATATGAGAAATCCTGCAAAATTTAGTTCACTTTCGACGAATTCTCGAGATAAATCATTAATCTAAACATTTGGAATGATAAAAGAGTAAGAGAAAGTATAAGAGAGGGTGTATATATGAAAGAGTATAAAAAATTAGGATTGAAATTTTCACCTCTTCAATATTCATATTATCTTTTAAATATTTATATCCCAAAGCCAAAACTCGACTTCCTCTACGCGTGAAAAATTTAAAAGTTTCTTCATAATCATCAGGTACATAAGAGTACATATTACGTAAGGTCTCAGGTGCACCCTTCACCGCCACAAATGTTTTTCGGGATCGTGGTGTATGAACTGTGGAAACACTTGACATACGTTTAAGCGCGGACGAAAATTGAAAACGTCGACGAATTGAAAGTTGAGATCTTTGTTGAAAACGGTTAGATTGTTTATTTACTGGTATAACAGTATCACCTTTATTTATGAAAAATATTATATATTAATAAATACTATATTTATTTTTTTGTTAAAAAAAAAAATCCTTTAATTATACCTTTGCCTAATTTCCAATCTAATGCTTCTAATGTAGCTTTTTCCATAGGGTCACCAACAGTATCATCATCCAATTGTACTAAAGCATGCGCTGCGGCAAGGGTTTGAATTGTATCCCGAAGAGCATCTGGTGGACTTACTAAGTTCTTGGAACTATCAGGACTAAAGAATGAATTAGATTTTAAAAGAATTAAATTTATGAAAATTCAATAAATTAAATTAAATAGGAAGCAATATATATGTATACGCTTTAAATAATACTTACTGAATACCAGCAATACCTTCAACTACGAGATTTTCTCCGGTAAGGGTACCAGTTTTATCGAATGCGCATACATCAATCTTACCTGCGAAAGGAATTCTGAATGGTTCGGTGCAATAAATAGCTATTATAAATTATTTTTATTATTTAAATTATAAATTATTTTTGTTCTAGATAACTTTTAAAGAGAAATTAAATGTTACCTAATTTTGATAATGCAATTAATGAAGTGGTAACTGCCAATGAAAGTTCCATTGGTAATTCTGGCGGTACCACGGAAGTTATGATTATTATACAATCAAGTAAAAGTTTAGATTTTTTACGATCGTTCTCGATGCCTAAATAAAAACAAAAATAAAGAGATGAATGAATAAAATAAGTAAGAACTACTAATCACACACAATAATAAATTAATTTAACTAAAATAAATGTAATTATAATGTTATTTAACCTTTAATCCAAACATAAGCCGAAGCGGAAATGGCGAATATTAATAAGAATAAAATGAATAGGAAAGATTCAAAATTATTTGCTGAAACGCGCTCAGTGCTGTAAACCATTGTACGAACAAGTTTTCCTTGAGCAGTTCCAAAACCGGTACGTATGACATATGCAATACAACCATTGTCTGGGGCCGAATAAGCTAAATACAAAATATACAAAATATAATAAATAAATACATATACATATACATATACACATATATCTATATATTTATATACACGTGGATTTCCAATTTATTTATATAAACATACGTGAATCCGTATCGTCTTTGGACTGTAGTGACGGTGGAGTAACTTGCAACACTTTAGTACCGCCGAATAAGATGCTATTTTTATCAAGATCGTTAATGTCAATAGAATCATTACCATCACGAAGAGCAACTGAATCCTATAAAATGAAACAAAAAAAAAAATTGAAACATGATTAATTATGATAAATAATGGTTTATTATGGTTGAACTATAAAAAATAAATAAGGATTTGTTTAAAATAATACGCGTATTTTAATATTAACTAATTTATTATTAAAAATTACATTATCATTACAAAGGAAACCCATTAATCTGACCTCTCTATACAATGAGGATTTTGTTTAATTTTGTAAATTTGGGAATTTAGTGTTTATCTATTGTAATTTGTTTTTAAATATTCAACTAATCCGCATAAAATATGATTCTTATATGATTTTGACTTATAAATATATTTTTACCTTTAACAATGGTGTCGATTCTCCAGATAACATAGCCTCATTTACTATACAAGCACCTTGTACAAGTACCATATCACAAGGTACACTACAATCTTCTTTGCTCCGAACTACATGAAAGAAAGAAATAATTGTTAATGAAAAACTCACGTTCTCTTATTCTGAAGATATATATATATATTTGACATGACTTACCTATAGATACCAAATCACCTGGTAAAAGTTCATCAGAGTTAATGGATACCCACCGACTATTTCTTCGAACATTAATCGGAAATGCCGTAATCGACATTGTACGAAATTCAGCCAGAGTTTGTAACCTCTAAAGAAAAAAAAATATTAAAAAATAAAAACGTAGAATTTAATCAAAGAAATTCCGTAAATGAATAAAATATTATTATTATAATTATTAAGTTTTACTACCTGAATGACAACGACTGATTCAAATACTACGAGCATAACCAATGTGAAAACTGAGTAATACCAATATTCATCAAGAACCCAAAGTCCAACACAAAATAGTTGAAATACGAAAAAAGGCGCAACAGCATGTTCTTTAAATAATTCGCGAAAAGTGGGTACAGGAATATCAAATCTGAAATGATTATATATTATTAACATTAAAAAAAAAAAAAAATAATAATAATAATAATAATAATAATAATAATAATAATAAGAGATAAAGATTACGAAATAAATGAATTTATTATTAATTTTATATAATTCCAATACCTATTATATCCATAAATTTCTTGAGCGCGTTTAATTTCATCGGGGATCATAATCCCTTTGGCATTTTGAAACACGGAAATTTGTGGATTCAGATCACTTGGATAATGCAATTTGTAAAACCTTTTTTTATCTTCATCCCATGTATATTTTTTTTTTTGAAATGAGAATGATATTTCACCATTCTAAAAATAATTAAAATAACTTTTAAAAGTTCATCTTTTGTCTTTCTGTAATTTTTATAATTCTTCTATCTTTTTTTTATAACTTTACCTTTCCATGATATAGATCACACAATTCTCCTTTACCCCTATGTGGTTGTGGGATAATTTTTATAACTTTTGCTTTATGAATATCATTTACCTTTAAATTAAAAATATTATTAATATAAATATAATTAATATAATAATAATAATAAAATTTCAATATAATTATTTTTGTAAAATTATTCTAATTGAACCAAAAAAATTATCTAAATATTTTGTCTTACATTTGAACAAGTAAAGAATGCTTTCGCTCCAACACTCCATTGACAACTCAAAAATACCAAAGCATTTATTGTAATTAAGCTTCCAAGTGTTAAAAATGTCCATTCTTCAGACCCAAGATATTCATCATATTCAAATAAATATATGTATAACCATGCAGTATGTAGGCAAAGAAAGGGCCATACATAGCCATGCCACTTTATTGACTTTCGAACATGTAACGAAGATTTTCTTATTGATTTTGCATCTATAATATTTGTTATCGCCCTGTTATTTAATGAATCATTTTTTAGCATTTTTTTTTTTTTTTTTGAAACATTATTTTCATACGATCTTTTTACATTACATTTTACTTACATTCTCTATACTATACTCTGGTAACTTTGTCGTCCTTAAATATTAAATTATATTATATTATTTCAACAAACACTAAATATGGATTAAATTTTGATCGATATATCAAATTTTATTCTTAACGGGGGAGATGTTTTTTATTCAAACAATGATGATGTTTCACGAGATTTTTTAATTTTAAGATTTTTTGATTTTTTTGAAAGTGTGGAATTTTCCTATTGGATTAAAGTTATAAAATAACTTCATTCAAGAAAATAAGCAAAGATTTTCATTCTCAATATTTGATTTTTATTCAAATTATATTATTAACTTTATTTTTATTGAAAATTCTTTATTCCCAAAAAAAACTTTCATGATCTTTACTTTCTTTACTAAAACTTCTATAAAGATTCAATGCTTTCTCGTATAAATGTTTGTCCGTTTCTGGATCAAATGTTGTTGCAATCGATGAATCTAGCCTATAAAATTTTTATGTATATGGAAATTATATATATATATATACATATATATTCATATAAAGATTCATAATAATATATCTCTCTACATACCTAAAAGTTAATTTCTCATCATATTGAGAAAGTGAAATTTGAGATGGTCGTTTCAAAACACTAACCGATCTAGATAAACCTATTGATGGTGGTGGTGATAATGGATCAAAGTCAGTCTGTCCAGATAATCTTGAAGATTTTGATTTTTTTTGATTCATTAAAACCGATTCATTAAATTGAGATGATGTTTTTTTTCTTGCTGGTGTTGTTTGTGATAAAATCGATCGTTGTTGTATAGCACTAGGTGATAGTACAACTTTATTACTCTCTTCTCGATAAGACTTAAATAATTAAATAATTATATTAAATAATTATATTTTAAATTATTGTAATAATTATTTTAGTAGATTATTTTAAAATAAAATTGAAATACAAATTGAAACTATTCAAAAAAAAATAACAGTACATTAAGTAAATCTTGAGTTCGATAAGTTCTATTGGTCTCTATTCCGTGAAGATTTGGCGATGGTTGTCGACTTTTATCTTAAACGATTAAAAAAATTAAAATTTTTATTTATATTTATTTAAAACTTGGAATTTTGTAAATTAGCGTAATTAGCGAAAAATTAAATAAATTGAAATACAAATCTCTAACCTTTTATCGTTTCATCTGCTTTAAAAGAAAGAGGATAAGGTTTAGGTGTATTTCCAATTCCTAATGCCCATGGTGAATTTGGAGGAACAGATACAGTTTTGGGATTTTTATAACTTTCATAAATAGATTCTGAGGTCATTTTAAAAATATTTGAAGTGACGTAATCACAGCATTGGCGAAGTCACGGTATTAATACGTTTTTTCTTAAAATAGAAATATGGAAAATAATATTCAATAAAGTAATAATGCTGAAATGTTTATTTTTGAAAAACAAAGTTTTACAGATAAACTAAACTCTCAGAATAATCTTTTTTTTTTATTACTATCTTGAACTATCATGATAATATTTCATGAAGTTTGGATGGTGACTAGGTTTAAAAAGATCTGATAGGCCAATCAAAAACTTAAACACATCCTTGATATTGATATAAGACCTTAATTTTAACTCTCTTATAGAGAAAATCCATCTGTTCACTTATTTAATTATTATCTAAAAGATATCTGTTCACTTAATTAAATTATTAACTGAGAATTAATTAAAAAACATTAGAAAGTTATTTCTCTTGCTCTTAAAAATTATGATAATTAGAAAATTGGTTGTAAACATATTTCATATTACCTTTAGCTTTGTCTACTTACTATATGAATACACTTATCAGTCATAGTTTTCACTATTTATTAATAATATCTTTTATTAATTATAGTCTTTATGCTATCTAACTAATAATTCTTTTAATAATATATTTCCATATTATTTCAAAAGTTCATATTTACCTTTCAAATTTGTTTTATACCATAAACTTTTGCTAGTAACATCACCCACAGAAAGCCATCCAACAGGAATATAAGAAAGATACATATTTCCAAAATTTATTCTATATATGAATATAAATAAGTATCCAATCTAATGTATTTTTGATCAAAGAATTTATATCTAGTGTCAAAAAATTTTGATTTTTAAGTAAAATAAATTTGTCTTTTATAAAAAACTATTTTAGGATTTTTTTCCAAAATTAATTTCAAGATTATATATTTGATTTGGGACATGTATAATCAGAAGTATATTTATTGCTTGCAAATTGCTATTGCAAATTTGTAAAAAATCTTTTAGCTATTGACATAACTCTTATATAAAAAACAATCTTATAGATGAAAAGAAAAAACAACAAAATCATTTGACAAAGCTTTTCTTTCTCATATACAAAAGAGAAGTTACTTTACCTATTGAACTTTATATTTACACAAACCGATATCTGATAATGAAATAATCCAATCAATTCTTTATTATATTGAATTGATCTATGGAAAATTAACAGATTAACAAATTGAAAAGTCACAATTATAGCAAAAAGAATATCATGATTTCAGCAACAAAAAAGTATATTGTCAAGTCACAGTATTTGAAAATTCCATTGGCAAAATGGTGATAGATTTTTTCAACCTTACTAATCTTTTAACTACAAAGAAGTGGTAAATTAATATTATTGATTAATCAGATCAATTTGCTAAGAATCTAATCGAGCTTTTTGTCTGTTTCTGAAAAATACTTTATAGAAACTAAGTTCTTGATTTGTTAGTTACAACTGAATAAACAGTATACTCGAAAATTAGATACCAGATGAGATGGAACCTATTTTATTCATAATGTTCTCAATTATGAAAACATACTCAAACTTTTCATGAGTAATTAATAGACAATTCTGTAAAATTATATCTAACTATACGTGTTGCCCAAATCCCAAATCATTTGGGATTTGGGACACCAAAATTCCAAATTACTAGTATTTGGGATTTGGGATTTGGGATTTCGGCAAAAAATACTAATCATAATTTGGGATTTGGGATTTGGGATTTCGGCATTTGGGATTTCGGCATTTGGATTTTGAATTTGGGTAGCAGGTATATATCTAACCAAAAAATAGTTGATTTAGAAAAAAAGATAGAAATTATTATAAAAATCAAAAAATAAATTGAGATATGACAATAGAAATGAAAACAAAAATTTCCACAATATAAATAATGATAGTAATTTAAATTGTTTCAAGAACCTATTCCCCTTTCTTATATATATACAATTTCATCATCTTCAAGATTATAATGACAGTTTTTTTCATCTTGTGTTGTTATTTTCTTTATTATTTAATAGTACACCATGACTCTTGAACAAGTAATATCTAAATCTTTCTTTTAAGAACTTCAGAAGTCTTGTTTTATAAAATTTTCCATACTATCCTTATCTGAAGCTTGAGAATACATGAACATAGACAAAAATTGAGCTATTTATGTAAACTTACTTTTAAAAAAATTACTCAATGAAAAAGTCCAGAGAAAACTTATCAAGAATAAAACAAAAATAGAGAAAAACAATTGCAAAGATATTTGTCTTAAATAATAAATTGTCTTCATTCAGATATGAAGGTCAACTTTAGTTATAACTTTGATTTTGTATAAAAAGTAACATAACAAATAATAAAAATTGGTTTTAATATTTGTATTATTTAGTTGTAAACATTGTCTTTAATTTATCCATTGTTCACCAAGCATCTCTCTCTTTTAAAGCTAAAGTTCAAGTTAGATCTGAAGCTAAATATCTTATGATTTACTTCTGCTCTCTTAAACAGACAGACCCTGACAATGCATACATATTACATAACAGAACTGTGCTTCAAAAAGATAGGTAATTAGGTACAATGATTGCAAATTTTATTTATAATAAAAGTGTTTGACAAGACTTCAATAATTATATTTCAATTCAATTTAAGAATAATTTAAATATTCAAAAAATTAAATAATGAATTTTTAAATGATTATTATTTTTCAATTCTAAAACTTAGAAATTAGATATATTTTATTTCTATATTTAAGTTTCTTAAGTGATGATCTGCCTATGATTAGCAGTGAATTACTATAGCATTTTGGATACAAAAAATTCCTGAAAGATGTCATATGCTCACATTTTAGTATTAAAAACTACATATTGATAATCTTAAAATATTTGGAGAAACATTTAAATTATATTTTTATATTTAACAATTTTATTTGTCTATAGAAATGAATTATTATATTAAAATATGTCATTTTGCACCTTCAAATCTTTTGCTGCTTCAATATAAAGTATAAAAAATGAAATTATTATTATAATTTTTTATGTATTTCTTGTATTTTCCAAATATATCATGAATAAATATTTCATATTCAAAGGTTATAGTTAAAAAATTGCCACTTGTATATAGATATTCAAATCTTTATTTTTATTGAAGATTTGTACTGTTTTATAAAAATTTTATCCTTTAAACACACATGCATTTCTAGTTCTTTTCTAATTTGAAATTGGATTTGTGGGTTAGGAAAAATCCACCAAAAATGTGAAAGGTAATCATAATGAATGTTTTCCATAAGGGAACCTATTTCTATAAGAAGTCTGTACTTGGTATTTTTTGACATAAAGTGAATAAGTGTTTGATTTGAACATCTATATGTAATTTACTATAAGTATTATCTTCAATTTTTTTAATTATTCTAGTTACTAACTTTTAAAATGATAACATGCACTGGCCAAATGACCAAAAATCAGGTTCCTATTGATAGCACAAATTAGACATCATATTTACAAAAATTTATGAAACATAAATTAGAAATAAATTGGAAAATCCTATTTATGAATCAACTTCCTATACTTAATAAATCTTAGCAAAACTCACTATCAATTAGAATTTTATTTTTTCCAATTAACTAGTGATGATTATATATAATTGCAGAAATATTGCAAACTTGTGAATAATTGTAAATTGCAGAATTACAAATTTTTAATTATTAAAATCTGCAATAATTGTGATACAAGTAGTAATATCAAAATTTACAATTCATTATTGTATGTACCATACCCTTTTAAAGAGAAGAGCAGCAATACCTAAGGAAGCTACTACAAGATTGATATACTTATTATACTTATCTAAATTGATTTTTGTAAGTAAATGCTATATACATTAGTCAAATGAAAAAATAAGAATTTTTGTTTCATGAATTTTTGTAAATAGGATGTCCAATTTTTGTTTATTCAACCAGTGATAATAATTAGAATATTAATTATAACAAAAAAGAAAATAAAAAATATTTATTAATTTACTTATAAAGAAATGTTTTTTCAGTTTCACCTGAACTATCAATAAAGAATGTAGCAGAAGTTCAAGTTTCTATCATTTTATAACTTCTTCAAATATTATTCATTGTTCAACATTCAATTGGAAAAATCCTCTTTCAGCAACTTGAATAAATTCTAATATTATACTGTTATTCTTTCAAATTGTTTTTAAGAGCTGTCAGAATAGGCATATTTGAAATTCCTCAAGGTTTGTTTATTCAAGATAGACTGCAAATGATAAAGGGTTCACATGTTGAAAGAACAAAAATCAGCAAAATTTTTGGTGCAATTGACTTAGCCTATTTGTGTATCATCCACAAATCAGCTTGCCTATTTGTGTATCATCTAAAATTTCCCTGCCTATTTATATATCATTATTCACAAATCTCCTTGCCTATTTTTGTATCTCTCTGCACATTTTCTCCAAAAATTTCGCCTGTTTTTCTTCATTCAACCAATGGTTCTGTTATATAGTTCAATATCTGTAAGTTCAAGAGTCATATTTCTAGTTTCATTGCAAACTTGAAGAAGAATTTCATTACTTAGTGTATGAATGTATTTCTTCAAAGTATTTCAGGCCATGTTAATTTATAAATCAATAAAGGGTACAAACAAACTGTTTAACTGTGTTCCAATAGTTTTCTCCAAATATTGACTCCATTCCATATCATCTTACAACATTTCTAAAGTAATATATACTTCCTTAAAAAAATAATAAGTAATTTTCTCAACTGTGCAAGATTTTCAAAGATGCTGCATCATGAATTAACATTCTGAGATAGTATAGCTTGCCTGGATGAACAAAATCAGTCTTGGTTTCCATTTTTTTGCTCACTTTTCATAACCTATAAGATGAAAAGTTTCAATATGAAGTCTTCTTTCTTCTGAAGACAATATATTGATTTCAATTATGCTGGAAGTATTGTTTCTCTGGAATACCACTCTGTGAAGGTGAATCTGTAATTGAATTACATTTGGCATCTTATTATGTAGCTAATAATGAAATACTTTTCATGAAACTTTGAAACTAAAATATAGTGAGCATCAAGATAGAGGTATATCTCATCAGCACATTCTATTTGCTTTTTTCTAATCTCTGATCATGGGCCTTATAAATATACATTGACTAAAATACTAAAAACACAATAAAATCTCCATAAAAAAAATTATAATACTACAATACAGTGAAATTTGTTATATCTAAAATATAATTTATAATTATTGTAAACATATATTGACCAAAATACTAAAAAATACACAGTAAAATCTCCATAAAAAAAATATTAAAACTTACAGTGAAATTCGTTATCTAAAATATAAGGCTTTATAATTATTGTCAAGAATCTAATTAACTTTATTACGAAAGAATGAGTTTTTATTTGACTGAAACAATAATTGATAAAAAAAATAATGGAATCACGGGAGGACTAAGAAGAATATCCACCGAACAAAATTTATTATCAGTCATATAAGAAAGATTACTCAAGCTTGAGGTTACGGTTTTTTTGTCATAAAAATTAGTGGTCTGAGATTCAATAGGTCTAAAGACATCAAGTGACTGTGTCACCGCCGAAATTTTGTCATATGAATAAAAAAGAATTCAAAAATTTTATACAAACAAAAGAGAGGATTTAAAAAATTTTGAATAAAAAAAAAAGAGAACTTAAAAATTTAACATATTTTAAGCATTTAAGCATTATTTTTTTTTATTTTTACATAATTATTAATTTTGAAACTTGTAATTTTATTAGTTCTGTTCAAATTATACACGTCATGTGAAAAATCTATCAAAGAAAATTATTTGATAGCTCTACAATTTAATGTATTTTATTTACTATAATTAAGCAAATAATGTATTTATTTTTTTTGATTCTATATTTGGACACAAAGGTTTAATAGTTTAAAAATATTTGATAAATACTTGATGCCTTTAGACTTTTTGCTCGAGTTTCTGATGATGTAAAGTAGTTATAACAATATTAGTGTAACATTCACCTGATCTTGCAAAGATTATTTTTTTCTATTTCTTATAGAAGCATTTCACATTTTTTTTGTACGACTCTTAATTATTTTCATCATAGTCAGGTATTAAAGATTCACTCAAATCCACACTTAACGCATCTGTTCACTATTGATGTTAGTCTTTCTTGCATGATGAATCTTTACGTAAAACAATTGCTCACTGTTTTTCATTTATACAACTTAAAGTGCAATAACACAGAAGTGGAGAAATCAAAGTTTGGATTCTGATTCATCTGGTGAAGTAAAATTGGTACATATATGTGGTAACTATAGTTGACAGTGTGATGCGTCGAATAAGTTCTCGCACAAGTTCACGTCCTTACTCAACAAGTGACAAACAATCTGAGATATCAAAGATTGGTAAGCAAGAATACCCACACCATACTTACCAACGATGCTTGAGAAGATGCTAAGGCATAAAAAAGGTTAGAGAGAAGAGAACATCCGAAATAAGAAAAATAGAACTTGTACGTGCATTTGGTTCGTCCCTAACTTCATAATTTGTTTTTGTGAATAATAAGTAGATTGGCTTTGCTAAACAATGATCTTACAGAGCAAATGAATTGTAGTTTGGCGTATTCAATTTCAAACAAGGTTTACTGCATTATATCATTCTGCTCGTATTAATTTCTAATCTTTCTAGTTATAATGTAAAAACTCGATACGATTCGTATCATACGAATTACCATCAAAGTAAGTGTGTAAAAAGAGAGCTTGTTGTTTGGTGTTGGTGTCGCAGGTGGCCACTCTACCCGATTGTCCAACGTGAAAAGATGACCTTTCTGTCGAAACATATCTTTTTTTTTGCAAAGCGGAATTGATAATTTCAGACTGGATGTAAACCTTTGTCAAACCACACACCAGAATCAGCAAAATTTTCTCTGTACCCGTCTTGAAATGGTGGAGTAACATTGAGGATTTCATTTTTATACACGATCAATTTATTCAAACCTTGTTGAAATTGCAACCATTATCAAGAACATTGATCCTGATATTGTTATCGGAAATACTTTGCTAAAAAAAAAAATACATGATGATGCAAAGACCATTGTATTGTCAGACTGGCCAGTATCAAATCATTCTTCTGAGACATTACATTCTCAATTTAAATTACTGTTTATCATCTTTGGCGGATGTCTAAATTTTATTGCTACTACGTGGATGAATTTCGTCAGTATAATTTATCCTCTGATTTAGATTTATCATGACAAGATGCGCAACATTTAGATAACATGGATCTTGGTAAAATCATTATGTATTCACAAGGTTATGCATTGCGATTTATCATTTTTTATATTAATTATTTGTAACAAAAGATATTTAATGATTTTATTGAATATTTATTTCCAAATTTTCAAGTTAAAGAAGAAATGAATCAAAAGTCTGGGGACCATAAATGAATGGGTATCAAGTAATAGTGAAATATTGTTAGATTTAGCTTTAAAAAAGATTTGTTGATAGAGTTAGAATTTTAAATGATAAATATTTTTTTTTAATCAAAATACTTTATTGAAAAAAAATAAAAAAAATAATCATGAACTCTCTATTTTCTATATCAACATTGATTTAATTTAGTTAGTTTGGAGAAAAAAATTTTTAATTTTAGTATTATCTATCATCATACATTAAACACAAGGTCGAAATATTACCTATCTGTCATCTATTTGGTAGCAGATAGGATGTGCACTTTTTTTATTTGTTTGTCTGGTAACGAAACACTCGAAAAGAAAACACTAAAACGAAAAGCGAAACAATTAATGTAATATTTGTATTATGGTTTGGTTATTTATTTGGTATACATTCAATAAGTTACTTTATCATGACTTGATTACCACTTCACTTTATTACTTTCTAAGCATTTTTTTATATGTCATGATAAAGTAAAAAAAAAATTATTTCTGCGTTGTCGTTGTAATATTTAAAATAAAATTCAGGGGAATTTGAAGAAACAACGTTTATTATCAATGCAATTTAAGATGCATTGCATTGTTATACGTATTTTCTATAATTGTATTTTCTTGATTTATCTCAATCATTTTTTCCCAGATTCAGGGGAACTTGAAGAAATAACGTTTATAATCAATGTTTCTTTATTTAGGATGCAGTTTCTATCTAGAATTCTGATTTCTTGGTTCAATCATTGAATGAATTAAATGAATTAGTTTTAACTCAGTTTCAGTTTCACAATGGTATTCTATTTGAACAATTCGGTATCATCAAAAAGCAACTGCCAAGTTTTAGAGCCAAGAGTTATAAAGATAATAAACTATTGTTGTTTATATAATGAAATTCCGGATAAGTTATTTTTATTTTTGGTTCAATCATCAAGAAAATCAGAGGATTAACTTTAAATAAATTTAAAATTACTAAAAAATAAAAAATAATATGAAAAGAAGTTAGCGAATACAAAGAAATGATACAATAAATTTTTTTAAAAGTCTTATATAGTTAGTAAAATGCACATAAAAAAGATAGTATGAAACGTGGGTATTATTTTCATTATTTTCTCCCAAAGCGTTAGAAACTAATAATTTAAAAATAGTTTCATTATATGGAGGAATTACATTTTCAGCTAAATTATCTCATTGGTTTGTTACATTTTCAGCTAAATTAGTGCGGGCTAAATTAGCTCATTGTAATCTTTTTTCTCATTATAACTATTAAAAAGATCGCTATTTTAAATTTAATTAAATTACATAAATTAAAATTTTTTCATAACTAATCCATAAAGAGATTCTCGCTGACACAAATTAATATTGTACTTTTATCATATATAAGAACTTAGTTGTCGACTTTCATCTTCCAAACCATTTTCTCCAATAGAATAAAATAATTAATAATTCATTTACAACAAATTTATAACACTATTACAAATATATCTTTCATAAATTAAATTTTGAAATTTTGAAATTTATAAACATGTCTATCACAATGAAATTTTTATTCTTTTTCGTTGCTTACTTCGTTCTTACTGCTTACGCTAGTGAAATCGTAATTAAAGTGGGCAATTTGAAATATGATCCTAAAACTGTTGATGCGAAAAAAGGCGATGTTGTATGTATCTCATTTTCATTTTCTTTTACTCTCTTTATCATTATTTATTTATTTTATTTATTTATTTTATTTTATTTTACCTTTTTATTCAGTTGGTTTTCACTTGGCTTTCTGATGGAAGTCAGCACGATGTCATCCAATCTGACTCTGAAGGTTCTTGTGATGCATCCAGTAAGTCACATGATAAGCTTCATTTTATTTCTCACTTTTTTCTTCACTTTTATTTCTCACTTTTATTTCTAACTTTATTTCTAACTTTATGATTTCATTTTTCTCACATTTATATATAGCCACACGTACTAGCATCAAATCTGATATAAAATCATCAGGAACTTACAACTACACCATTACCGAAGATGCCAATACAAAACTTTATTATTACTGCAGTGTAGGAAATCATTGTGACAGTGGTATGTATGGTACTATTAATGTAGTTAGTAATGATACTACTATCACATCTAGTTCAGGTTCATCTCCAACAGGAGGATCAGGTTCAAGTTCAACACAAACAGCAACAAAAAGTTCCGCTGTCTCCTTCAATTCAATTACTGCGGTTACTTTATTGGTATTCGTATCAAGTCTGATCATGGCTGCTTCCTTGTTATAATTAGAAAAAACTCCATTTAAAGATTTGCTATAGTAGAGATTATTATTAGAAAAATTATTATTTTATTTTATTTAATCAACAAAAATATATTAATTCTAAAATTAAAATGCATTTCAATATATATCAAACACATTTAACACATAAATATTTCTTTATTAATTTTATTACTTAAAAATAAAAAATTTTATTATTGGCTCTTTAAGTTCAACCATTAAATGTGTTAAATTTGGTAAATTTAAATATATAAATCAAATTAAATTAAATTTTTCATAAAGAGATACAGTAAAATTAATATTTGCAATTGTTATGGCCCCAACTCATTTTCTCAACAAGTTGGATAGAATAAAATAATAACACTATTATAAATATACCTTAAATCCTTTTTTTTCATAATTTTCATTAAATTAAATTTATAAACGTCTACCGCAATGAAATTTTATTCTTTTTCGCTGCTTGCTTCGTTCCTTGCTGCCTATGCTTGCTGAGGGTATTGTAATTAATGTGTCAAATTTTAAATATGATCTGATGCTAAAGTTTGTGACAAAGTATGCATCATATTTTCATTTTTTCTTTAATTGATCAATCATCTTATTTATTTTATTTTATTTTTTCACTTTTGATGGAACTATGCACGATCTGATCCAGTAAGTCACATGATAAGCTTCATTTATTTCTCACTTTATTCTCTCATATATATATATATATATATAAAATCAAAATTACTAATGCCTTCAAATCTTGAAGAATGTCAACGAGAACTTGGACTGTAAAATTTTACTATTTTTGTTCTGTAGTTGTTAGTGATGATGATACTCCTTCTATTGCTACCGCCACTGATATATCTAGTTCAGGTTCATCTCCAACAGGAGCTACATCAAGAGGATCAGGTCCAAGTTCAACACCAACACAAACAAAAACAAATTCTGCAGTCTCCTTCAATTCAATTACTGTGATTACTTTATTGGTATTCGTATCAAGTATTCCATGTTATAGTAAGAAATAAATCTCCATTTAAAGACTTGCTATAGTAGAGATTATTCTATAACCAAAAATTTTAACCTTAAAATGAGAAAGATTAAGGCTTGTGACGCAGACAAAATTATAAATTTCTCTCTTATGATCACATCATAAATTTTATTGGCCTTAAATCACGTGAAAGCCCAGCCGAAATTTAAAAAATATACTAAATCGTAAATCGGTTCCTTTTTTGTCTGAAGTCCGAAAACCCGAAAATAATATATATTTTTTTTTGATTATAGACTGAACGTCGTAGAAAATTACAAAAATATATTAATAAATTAAAAATGCATGTAAATATTTCTTTATTAGTTTTATTATTCAACCATTAAATGTTAGATTTGGTAAATTTAATTAATTGTATAAATTAATTTTTCATAACTAATCCATAAAGAGATACAGTATGTTTTCTTTCTCACTGATACACAAATTAACATTTTGTCGTTATTACGGACTGGACTTTTATCGTATATAAGAACTTGGTTGTCGACTTTCATCCCCCCAACTCATTTTATCCAACAGGTTAAAATAATAAATAGTTCATAATTCCTTTACAACAAATTTATAACATTATTATTAATATACCTTCGTTTTTTCATAATTTTCATAAAATTAAATTTTGAAATTTTAAACATGTCTATCACAATGAAATTTTTATTTCTTTTCGTTGCTTGCTTCGTTCTTGCTGCCTATGCTGATGATGTCGTAATTAAAGTGGGCAATTTGAAATATGATCCTCAAACTGTTGACGTGAAAAACGGTGACACCGTACGTATCTCATTCATTTCATTTACTCTCTTTATTATAATATAGAATTAATATTATCAATCATTATATATTTATTTTATTTTATTTTACCTTTTATTCAGTTGGTTTTCACTTGGCTTTCTGATGGAAGTCAACACGATGTCATCCAATCTGACTCTAAAGGATCTTGCACTGCATCCAGTAAGTCACATGATATGCTTCGTTTTTTATTTCTCACTTTATTTATTTCTCACTATATTTCTAACTTTTTCTAACTTTATGATTTCATATATATATAGCCAAACTTACTAGCCTCAAAACTGAAATAAAATCATCGGGAACTTGGAACTACACTGTTACCGAAGCTGCTAATACAAAAATGTGGTATTTCTGTAGTGTAGCAAGTCATTGTGAAAGTGGTATGTATGGTACTATTAATGTCGTTAGTGATGATGATATTCCATCCACTGCCACTGGTGGTTCAGGTTCATCTCCATCAGCATCAGGAGCATCAGGAGCATCAGGAGCTCCATCAACTACATCAACAACAACAACAACACCAAATTCTGCGGTCTCCTTCAATTCAATTTCTGCGGTTACTTTATTGGTATTCGTATCAAGTCTGATCATGACTGCTTCCTTGTTATAAAAATCCATTTAAAGATTTTCTATAGAGATTATTATTATTAGAAAAATTATTATTTTATTTTTATTTAATCAACAAAATATATTAAAAATGCATTTCAATATATATCAAACACATGTAACACATAAACATTTCTTTAATTTTATTACTTAATAAAAATGAAAAGTAAAAATTTTCATTATTTGCTCTTTAAATTCAACCATCAAATGTTAAATTTAATAATTTTTAAATTTTTTCATAAAGAAATACAGTTTATTTTCTTACTTAATATACAAATTAATATTTCAAATGGGCTGATTCGATGTTGTCACATAAAATTTAAATTTTTATTGGTTTTTTAGACAATAATATAATTAGATTGATAATGCCTTATCATAAAACTTGTTTATTACGTTGTCGAAGAACATAAGAAAATTGGTTTGGAATCGCGAGCCTATTCTTAATTTATATAAACCATAAATATTATATTTTTTATATTTTTTTTTATAATATTTATACAAAAAACAAGTTCTTTTCAAAATATAAGCTTTTATTATTTAATAGATTTGAAATAAATCAATTTCTTATTTTTATAGATTTTATAAGAATACAATAAATATAAAAATAACATAGATTATGATAAATTATGTATTTTTAATAATAATAGATAAAAATAGATATACAAATATATTTAATAAAAATATTTAAATCATACTTTGAACTTGGAACTCAGAGATAAATAATGATATTAAATAGATATTTTTGTTTATTTTATATTTATGAATGATGGATAATTTATTTTCTCAGATATCACCTATGTGATATAAAAAATAACAAGTGGACTTTCATCGTATCGTTCGCTTGTGGCCCAGTCGGATCGGTACAAAATGATCAGCAAACGTCTTCATACATAATAAATTTTAATCTGAAATTTTTAATGAAGAAGCTTTAAAAGTATTAACTATGAATCTATAAATATTAACATTCGAAACATTCATTAAATTAATATCTTTAAAAAATGCTTGATTTCTTATTTTTAAATTACTAAAGATAGAATTGTGCCAACCATAATAGTACAATTGATAATGAATTCAGCAATTTAAATACCGTTTCTTTTCATAAAATTCAATTTTTGAAATTTGAAAATTTATAAACATGTCTAACGGAATGAAATTTTTATTATTTTTTGTTGCTTGCTTCGTTCTTGCTGCTTACGCTGATAATATCGTAATTAAAGTGGGCAATTTGAAATATGATCCTCAAACTGTTGATGCGAAAAAAGGCGATGTTGTATGTATCTCATTTTCATTTTGTTTACTCTCTTTATCATATTTATTTATTTATTTATTTTACCTTTTATTCAGTTGGTTTTCACTTGGCTTTCTGATAGAAGTCAGCACGATGTCGTCCAATCTGACTCTGAAGGAGATTGCTCTGAATCCAGTAAGTCACATGATAAGCTTCATTTTATTTCTCGCTTTTTTCTTCTCACTTTTATTTCTCACTTTTATTTCTAACTTTATTTCTAACTTTATGATTTTATTTTTCTCACATATATATATAGCCACACTTACTAGCATCAAATCTGATATAAAATCATCAGGAACTTACAACTACACCATTACCGAAGATGCCAATACAAAACTTTATTATTACTGCAGTGTAGGAACTCATTGTGAAAGTGGTATGTATGGTACTATTAATGTCGTTGGTGATACTACTTCCACCCTCGCTCGGACATCTGGTTCGCCTTCATCAAGAGCTTCACCAGGAGCTCCATCAGAAGCTCCATTAGAAACTACATCAGGAAGATCAAGCTCAAGTTCAACGCAAACAGTAACACAAAAAAATTTTGCGGTCTCCTTCAATTCAATTACTACTGTTACTTTATTGGTATTCGTATCAAGTCTTATCATGACTGCTTCCTTGTTATAATAAGAAAAAAAAATCCATTTAAAGATTTGCTATAGTAGATATTATTATTGATACAAAATTAAAAATACGTTTCAATATATATATTAAACACGTAACAAGCAAACATTTCTTTATTAATTTTATTACTTAAAAAATGAAAAATGAAAAATTTCAACCATTAAATGTTAAATTTGGTAAATTTATTATATAAATTAAATTTTTTCATAATGAGATACAGAATATTTTTTTTTTTCATTAATACACAAATTGCTGGACATTTATCGTATATAAGAACTCGGTTGTCGACTTTCATCACCCAACTCATTCTCCAACAGGTTAATAGATGGAATTGTGCTAACCATAATAGTACATACCATTGAGTAACGGATCAGTAATTAAATACTGAATAAAATTTTTGAAATTTATGAACATGTCTACCAGAATGAAATTTTTATTTCTTTTCGTTGCTTGCTTCGTTTTTGCTGCTTACGCTGATGATATCGTAATTAAAGTGGGCAATTTGAAATATGATCCTCAAACTGTTGACGCGAAAAAAGGCGATGTTGTATGTATCTTATTTTCATTTTGTTTACTCTCTTTATCATTATTTATTTATTTATTTTATTTTATTTTACCTTCTTTTTATTCAGTTGGTTTTCACTTGGCTTTCTGATGGAACTCAGCACGATGTCGTCCAATCTGACTCTGAAGGTTCTTGTGAAGCATCCAGTAAGTCACATGATAAGCTTCATTTTATTTCTCACTTTTATTTCTAACTTTATATTTTCTCACTTTATTTCTAATTTTCTCTCACATATATATATAGCCAAAATTACTAATGCTATCAAAACTGATTTAAAATCATCGGGAACTTGGAACTACACTATTACCGAAGATGCCAATACAAAAATTTATTATTTCTGCAGTTATTTAAGCCATTGTCTAAGTGGTATGACAGGTACTATTAATGTAGTTAGTAGTGATACTACTTCCACTGCCACCTCCACTGGTACAGGTTCAGGTCCGCCGCCTTCATCCTCCACTGGTACAGGTTCAGGTTCGCCGCCTTCATCCTCCACTGGTACAGGTTCAGGTTCGCCGCCTCCATCAGGAAGAGCTCCATTAGGAACTACATCAGGATCTTCAACAGGAATTCCAACAGGAGCTACATCAACAACACAAACAAATTCAGCAGTATCCTTCAATTCAATCACTGCGGCTACTTTATTGGTATTTGTATCAAGTCTGATCATGACCGCTTCTTTGTTATAATAAGAAACAACTCCATTTAAAAATTTGCTATAGTAGAAATTAGAAATGCATTTAATATAATATTTCCATTTCTTTTATTTATTTTTTACTACTAAAAATAAAAATAAAAAAATTTCATTATTTTCTATGACGTGTTGAATTGAATACTTATCACATGACGTGCACAGTCACAGAAGTCGACTCGCGTAAAATATATTCTCTTCTTTTTATAAAAGTAAAAAATTTAATGTCATAAAAAAAAAAAAATGGACCAACAAGTCAGTACTGGTATCCTTAAACTTATGTTCGCTGCACATGAAAACGAAAAACCAATTCTTCAAGTAATGAAAGTTGATTTAACTAATCCTCCGAATCAGTACCAACAACAAAGATACAAGTAGTGTTTCACGATTAAGTTGTTAAAAGAATAAAAAGACATTATTGCTGCTCTCCTCACTATTCCAATTTAGTATTTTATATTATTTATTCACGCGTCTTGACATGGTTTTTTAAATCATTGATAAATCCTTGTCTTATTACAAATAGAGTAGCGTTTTCAGATGGTCGTGACTATGTACAAGGTATTAAATTTATCAAAATAAAAATTAAATGAATGAATGAATAATTTAAAAATAAATAAATTAAAATATTTCATTTACATTTTCTATTTAGCAATGATTACTCTGGCAATTATGAAAACTTTAGGTAAAGGTCAGTTGGAGAGAGGTCAGCTGGTCCGTCTGAATAATTATAATTTTGCTACAACACACAAGTTAATAATTTATTTATTCATCATCAAAAGAATAAATTAATCATAAATAAATATTAATATCATTTCTTTTTTTTTCAGAGTTCTTATTATTCAATCGTGTGATTTAGTCAATAATGTACGACCAATAATTGAAAGTCTCAAGCCTACTGACGAACGAGAATCAAAAGAAAACTCTCTACAAAGACCTCAAATCCAACAACTACTACAACGAAGGGATTGCCAACAACAAACACCACAACAACATCAACAACAACAACAACAATAACAACAAGAACCAGTCATGTCACAAAGTTCCAATAATTCACCACAATCTCTCCAAAGACCTCAAGCACCTCAAGTTAGATCTCCTCAACAACCTAACATACGACCACCCACGTCTCAAACAAATGATGGTGATGAGGGAGTTTGTCCCATCAGTTATCTCAGTTCATATCATAACAAGTATTTAATTTATGAATTTATCTTGGAATTAATCATAATTTCATTATGAATTTATAATTATTATATTTTCTTAGGTGGAAAATTAAAGGATTTGTAGGCTCGAAATCAGAAATTAAGCGTTGACAAAACAAGCGTGGAGAAGGAAAATTGTTTAATGTCACTTTATTGGATAATAGTGTAAAGTTTATTATGATTGTTGATGATAATTATTTATAATTACAAAATGATTAATCATCCTAATTTATAAATTAAAATTTATGGCATTAGGAAGAAATTAGAGCCACGGCATTTAATCAACAAGTTGACGAATTCTTTAATGTATTGCAAGAGGGAAAGGTATGATTGAAAAATTCAATTATTGAATATTCAAGAAATTTTCATTAATTATATAATAATTATAATTGATTATTTATATCTTTCTTTCAAAAGTTATTTTACATATCTAAGACAAAAATAAATGGTGCTAAAAAGCAGTATTCATCATTGAAGAATGATTATGAAATCACTTTAGAGAGTAGAACTCAGATTGTTCCGGTATGTATTGTACATGTTTATTATAACTGTATATTATTGGATATCATTTTAAAGATATTATTCAACTTACTAATTTATTTTGATTTCCATTTTCAAATATTTTAGTGTCCAGATATTGATCCTATGAATATGTTAAAATTAATGAAACATGAAAAAGATAGCACTATAGGTAAAAATAAAAACTCTGATCATAATTCGAATATAAATTAATTTTTATTTAACTAATATATTTAATTTAATTCAATTCAATTAAATTAAAAAAAAACCAGATATTATAGGAATTGTCAAAAGTGCAGATGATTTACAATCAATAACAACTAAAGCTACACAGAAAATGGTATTGCATTATTTAATAATAATAATAATAATTTTATTAGTATTATTACTATATTATTATTATTATTATTATTTTAGCAATTTCTAGTAAAATGTTAATTATATTTATTTCTTCTCATTTTCTTTATATTTTTTAGATCAACAAACGTGAACTCACCGTTATTGATCAAAGTGGATATATGGTTAAAATAACTACAGGCTGAAAATTTTGAAATGAAGGAAAATCCTGTTGTTGTATGTAAAAATGTGAAAGTGGGAGATTATCAAGGTATGTGTAAAAATAAAAAATCAATAAAATTCTAAAACGTTGAATGTAAAATTAAATGGAATAATTGAATTAAATTTATTTAAATTTATTTAAATTTATTGAATTATAGGACGTTCACTTTCAGTTTTCAGTGGCACTACATTGTTATATAATCCCAATATTCATGAAGCTAAAGAATTACGTGATTGGTAAAAAAAATAATAAAAATAAAATAAAATATTGTTTATCTAATAATTTTTAATATTGTATTAATATATGATCATTATATTTTAGGTCAATAGATGAAAATCAAGAATTTAATCCTTTTGCTGGTATGAGAGGAGAATATAATGCAATGCAAGAAAGGATTGAGAATAGAAAAACCATCGAACAAGTTAAATCTGAGAATCTTGGCAGTGGTGAAAAAGTATTTATTATTAATTTTAATTTTGTAAATTTTGTTCTAAATTAATTTTGACATTTTTTTTTTGTTTTTTTTTTAGGTTGATTATTTTAATACCGTTGCATATGTTATTTTTATCAAGAAAGAAAATAATTATTATCCAGCTTGTGTCAATGTTGGATGTACTAAAAAAGTTTCTGATGAAAATAGAGATGATAGTTGGAATTGTGAAAAATGTGGTCAAACATTTTCTCAACAAAATTATAGATATATTGCACTAATTAGTGTGGCTGATTATACCGATTCCACATGGTTTCAATGTTTCAATGATAATTTTAGGATGTTCGGCTGATGACGTCAAGGTAAATAATTAATTAAATTATAATTTAATATTAATTAATTTATAAAATATTATTTATGATTTTTGATGCGTGTAGGATGAAAATGATTCAGTTTATGATGCTGTTTTCGAAAAAGTTTATTTTAAACCTTATATATTCAGATGCCGTGCCAAAATTGTAAATTATAATGTATGCTATAATTTTTATATTTTTTTTTTGTTATTTTTGAAAATAATATAACTTTATTGTTTTTTCATTTTGTATAGGATAATTCTAGAGTTCGATGTACTGTGGCAAATATAAGTCCTGTAGATTATATTGCACAATCTAAAGAGATGTTCCAAAATATAAAAATTCTTGATCCGTAATTTTAATATTAAATGGCAAACTGAGTTATGTTTGATTAAAATTATTTATTATTAAAATAAAAGTATTGTTACAAACTCGATATAAAAATAAACGGATTATTTATTATATGTACATAATAAACATCTTACAAAGTAATCGAATATCGAATAGAGGTCAGATCATGTGCATGTAGCGCAGTACAAGCGTAAGAGCTGAAAATGATTTTACACATGAAATTCTAAATTATCAAAAAGCTTTTATATCTTCCTTTCTTTTATGGAGTGTTGTGTCGCTGATATCTTTTGGAAGTTGTTCTCTAACCTCATTATTGGCCATGATAAGAGGTGCACATTTCAATTGGTTTCTTAAAATAATAATTTAAGCGATCCGCTGAACCTTTACCAAATTATAGTAAGATCTTATCACCATTCTTGGCTCGCGTTATTATAAAATAATTTCATAGTTAAAGTCGATGATATGCATGTGATGATGTGGATGCTCAAAAATTTTTGTGATTATCAAATTTCTGATTTTTGTAGAACACAAACACATAAGGTGACAAAATTAATGTTGATCATTGATAAGAAAAAATTTTTAACCTTTCTAAAATGTCTGAACAATTAGAAAAGAGTGAATCTGTTTTCGAAGAGAAAATTATAAGAAAGAAACGAAAACTTGAGATTTCTGAAAATTCCAATAATAGTACTAATAAAAAGAAGAAGAATGATAAAAAGAAGAATGATAAAAAGAAGAAGAATGATAAAAAGACGACGAATGATAGAAAGAAGAATAATCAAAAAGAAATAGAAAATAATAATAAAGTGATTGATGATTCTAACCCAGTACCACAAATTAAAAATTCTGATGTGAATAATCAAGAAGAAGTAGAAAATAATAATGTGATTGATGGTTCTCACCCAGTACCACAGTTTGAAAAATCGGGTGTGAATTATTTTTATTTTTTATTATTATTGTCATGAAATTCATTTTTATATTATTAATATTTTTGGTAATTAATGATTTTATGTATTTTATTAATATTAAAGATTTCTCCACAAATGATGATGATGATGATAATAATGATAAAGTCAATTACGATTTTGAATCATTGGAAATTTCAGAATTTACCAAAAAAGCCATTGGAGAAATGGGGTTTACGAAAATGACCGAAATTCAGGCTAAAACTATACCACCATTAATGGTCGGTTGTGATGTTTTGGGTGCTGCTAAAACTGGATCCGGTAATAATTATTTTCTATTCTTTTAGATAAAAATTTATTTATTTTAGAGGAAAATATTTAAATATAAAAATATTTTTTTTATAGGTAAAACTTTGGCATTTTTGATACCAGCAATTGAAGTTCTTTACAAACTTAAATTCAAACCTAGGAATGGTAAATATTTTTTAAATATATTTTTTAAATATTTATTTATTTTATGAATTATTCAATTAATTCTCTAACCCCCATACACGTATATTAATAGGTACGGGAGTTATTGTGATTTCTCCTACTCGAGAATTAGCATTACAAATTTTTGGGGTAGCCAAAGATTTATTAAAATTTCATCAACAAACTTTCGGAATTGTTATGGGAGGAGCTAATCGACAGGCGGAAGTTCAAAAAATAACCAAAGGAGTTAATTTATTAATTGCTACTCCTGGAAGATTATTAGATCATCTGCAAAATACCAAAGGATTTATATTTAAAAATCTTAAAGCTCTTATAATAGATGAAGCTGATCGTATATTAGACATTGGTTTCGAAGAGGAAATGAGACAAATTGTCAGGATTCTTCCGAAAGGTATAAAATATATTTATATTTACATTATTTTATATACATTCATACATATATATTTATATATTTTCACATCTCGTGTTTTTTTTTAAATAGAAAATCGACAAACAATGCTTTTTTCCGCCACATTAACTACCAAAGTTGAAGATTTGGCTCGAATATCTTTAAGAGAAGGACCAATATATATTAATGTAGATGAAAAGAAAGAAAATTCTACTGTTGAAGGACTTGTTCAAGGCTATGTTGTTTGTGAGAGTGATAAAAGATTTTTATTACTTTTTACATTTTTAAAGAAAAATTTAAAAAAGAAAATGATAGTATTCTTTTCAAGTTGTAATTCGGTCAAGTATCACGCAGAATTATTAAATTATATTGATGTACCAGTTTTAGATTTACATGTAAGTTTTATATTAATAATTTATTTTTATTAAGTAATAATTTATTTTAATAATAATAATAATAATAATATATTGTTGATTAATATTCATTAGGGCAAACAAAAACAAACAAAGAGAACAAACACATTCTTTGAATTTATAAATGCGGATCACGGTATTTTACTTTGTACAGACGTGGCGGCTAGAGGGTTAGACATACCAGCAGTTGATTGGATTGTCCAATATGATCCTCCAGATGATCCACGAGATTATATTCATCGAGTAGGAAGAACTGCTCGTGCAGGCGGTCAAGGAAAAAGTTTATTATTTTTATTACCAGGTGAACTCGGATTTTTACGATATTTAAAAAATGCCAAAGTACCTTTGAATGAATATCAATTTCCAGAAAATAAAATTGCAAATGTACAATCACAGGTAATTTATTATTCACTTATTTTTCATTATTTTTTTTTCTAAGCATTAAACGTCATTGTGTTTGTGTTTTTATCTTAAACATTTAATAATTGTTTTTTATTTTTTTTTTTCCATAAATTTTGATGTTTAGCTTGAAAAACTAGTAGAAAAAAACTATTATTTACATCAATCTGCTCGTGATGGTTTCCGATCGTACTTGTGCTCTTATGCCTCTTATTCACTAAAATCGATTTTTAACATAAATAATTTGGATCTTCAAAAAGTTGGAAAAGCATTTGGTTTCCAAGTACCACCGAAAGTTAATATAACAATTGGTGCTAGTGGAAAAGATTCACGACATCGAGGTGGGAATAATAATAATAATAGTCTAAATAACAATAATAATAATAAAGCTCATTTTTTGAAACAGAGAACTAGTGCTCTGAATAAAAAAGATAATAAGCAATGGAGCCGATAATAATAAATGAATAAAAATCTAGTAGGTTTATCAGTTAGTTATTATAATTATTTTGTGATATTATTTCAAGATTTCTTGTTTTTTTTTTTTTATTTTTTTTTTTACTGATAGAAAATAATGAGAGATAATGAGAAATAATGAGTGTAATTTCTTTCATTTATCATATTTATATTGAACAAAAAAATAATAAATAATATTAAGGTAAATATAGATAGTTAAATATATGTTATATAAATAGAATGAAATATAAAGGGGAAAAAAAAAGATAAAAATATACAAAAAAAAAAAATAATAATAAATTGTCATTTAAATCTATTCATTTGCAACATGGAATATCATCACCCATCAATGCTATAGTTATCATGCATATGATTTCTTCGCGGAAGTAAATTTGATTGTTGAGAATTGGTGGCGGCAACGCGTGATGGAGGATGCGGGGGATGATTTATTAATTGTGGTTGTGATTGTGGTGCATTTTGATGATGATTTATTAATTGTGATTGTGGTTGTTGTTGTTGTTGTGGGGCATTTTGAAGATTTATTAATTTTGGCTGTGGTGCACCATTTATTAATTGTGGTGGTTGTTGTGGGGCATGCCCTATAATTGGCAATACCTGTATAACAGGTTGTACAGGTTGTACAGATTGTCTATGTTGTACAGGTAGTATGGCTTGTATGGATTGTCTAGATGATTGTTGTTGATGTTGTTGATGTTGATGTTGATGTTGATGTTGTAAAGATTGGACGGGTTGGTGTTGTATCTGTTGTACTACTTGTTGTTGTACAGGTTGCCTAGATTGTTGTATATGTTGTACAGGTTGCCTAGTTTGTTGTACAGATTGGACTTGTTGGTGTACAGGTTGCCTAGATTGTTGTTGTATTTGTTGTACAGATTGCCTAGATTGTTGTTGTTGTTGTACAGGTTGTACAGACTGTATAGGTTGTTGTCTAGATTGTTGTTGTTGCTGTTGTTGTTGCTGTTGTTGTTGTTGTTGTTGTTGTTGCTGTTGTTGTATTTGTTGTATTTGTTGTACTTGTTGTACTTGTTGCTGTATTGGTTGTACAGGTTGTACAGGTTGGATATGCAAAGGAACCATACGCACGTTAACTCTTGGAATTGTTTGTATATTTTGTATATTGGTAGGTATTCCTCCTATTTGTATATTTTGAATTGTATTCTGTAAATTACCCTGAATAGAATTTTGTAGATTACTCTGAATAGAATTCTGTAAATTACTCTGAATAGAATTTTGTAAATTATTCTGAATAGAATTCTGTAAATTAGTTAATTGAGGAAGCATTCCCATAGGAATTTGAATATTATTAATATTGTAATTATGAGGTGTACCGTCGGGTGCACAAACATCACTAAAATATTCATGTAACAATGCTTTCTTTGCTGTTATTCTTTTTTCTGGATCATAAACTAACAATTTTGTAAGTAAATCCATTCCTTTAGGATCAATCATAGGAAGCATTTGAGTCATATCTTGAAGATTATAATTTGGATACGGTTTATGATAATCTGGATATTGTGTTACTCCCGCCCAAGTGGTTTCTGTAGGTGTACCCATAATACGAAAGATTTTTATTAATTGATCATCATTAGTTGTTCCGGGAAATAAAGGACGTCCTGTATACATTTCTGCCATAATACAACCCGCCGACCAAATATCAATTGACGTTGAATATGAACGTGATCCTAAAAGTACATCCGGTGAACGATACCATAAAGTAACTACTTCATTTGAAAATGTTGTAACTGGAATACCAAATGCACGGGCAAGACCAAAATCCGCAAGTTTTAATTCACTCTTTTTGTTAATTAAGAGATTTTGAGGTTTTAAATCTCGATGAAGTACTCTATTATCGTGACAAAATTCTATACCTCGTAACATTTGCCACATAAAATATTTAATAATGTGTGGTTCTAATGCTCCATGATTTCCATGTGTGTCCATATATTTTTTGAGATCTTGATCCATGTATTCGAAAACAAGCATAAGCCTACTTTCGGTATGAATTACATCCTTAAGTTTAACAATGTTGGCGTGCTTCAATTCTTTCATCAAGGATATTTCACGAATAGCCGTAGAAGGTGCTCCTTCTTCTGAATCTAAATGAATCTCTTTTAAGGCTACAATTTCTCCAGATCTTTGTTCTTTGCCTTTATAAACAGTAGCATATGTCCCTTCCCCTAACTTTTCTAGCCTTAAATATTCTCTCCCTGTCATTATTTTTTTTAATTTTTATTATAATTGAGTGTTTCTTCTCAGTAAATTCAGTAAATAATAGAAATTTAACATTTACTGCATGTGATTACTAACTGTATATACAGTATCTCCGTAGTAATAAGTTATGTGTAACCACAATTAGTGTCTATATTTCCAAATTTTGATAATAATAATAATTATTTTTATTATTCTTCTTTATTCCTTACTATTATATTCTTTACTAATTTTGTAATTTGCAAAAAACCCTATTTTGAATAAAATGATTCAATAATGAGAAAACTTATTTCTCACCCTATAATTGTCACATAGCTGAACATCAATTTTTATTATATACATTTTTTTTTTTTGGAAACCCTATTTGTCACATATTATTTTCATCTGGTAATCACCTGACATCATTTAATAATCACAAGAAAGCAATCTTATTCGAGTAAAAAGAGGGGGGTGACAGCTCACTCTGAGTGAGGAATATATTAATTTTCTAAATTTCTAAATTATCTTCATTGCAGAATTATGAGAATATATATGATTTATGATTTAAATTCCAAGTAAGATTTATAAAAAAAATGACATCTTTACTTGCCATTCAATAGTAAATATTATCTTCAGAAGAACATTATTTTATAATTCCTTTTGGGATTTATTTATATATATAAAGTTTTGCCACATATTGAAATAAAATAAACTCAAAATATAACATATCTGCACGTGTACACAATTTACTTACGTCATACACGATAATCTGATGTATCGCGTTGGGATGTTAAATCAAAATCCAAAATCTCATTATCATTATACGGGTCTATATTTGAATATCATCTAATAAATCTTGTAAAATGGCGAACATAAAACCTAAACTTCAGGATAACGTGTTTAACGATCGTATTCGGTTTTTTAAAGAATTTTTGGAAGCTGAAGTATCCTTTTTTATTTTTCAAGAGAATTTTCTATCAAAAAAAACGCGGTTTTATGAGATCTTATAATATATAGATATCAAACTATACAAATATTAGATTATAAGGATATGATAACGCGTGTATTCTCTCTTTGATCGCATATGTCCTTAAATATAGTGATATATTTAATACTTAGAATGAAAACGGTATTGCCACTTACAAAGCCGAAATATTAGGTTTACTCGAAAATGAGGAAAAACGGTTGATAATAAATTTAAATGATTTACGAAATTATCATGCCGAAAATTCCGAGAAGTAATTAAAAAATTAAAATTCTTTATATTTTTTATTAATTTTAAAATCTCATATATCTCATATATATCTATGTTTTAGTTTATTAGATTATCCTAATGAATGGATACCTGCATTTGAAAAAGCGCTCAAAGAAATTGCAATTATCTTACATGATCCTACCAAACACAATTTAGAAGATGAAAATCTATATGTTGGTTTTTCTGGAAACTTTCGTTATCACGTAAATCCTGGAACTTTAAGATCTTTCCACTTAGGAAAATTAATTAGTATCGAAGGAATAGTCTCACGATGTAATCATTATTTCTTTCTTTAATATAAACTTCTTCCTTCGTTTCGATACATCTTTATTAATTTATTCGAATCTTATAATTAAAATATGAATATATATATAAATATGATATGAATAGGTTCGCTAGTTCGATTAAAACTTGCAAAAAGTGTTCATTACTGTGAAAAGACTAGTGTATTTTATTTTAAAGAATATCAAGATTCAACCACTATTGGAAACTATGTTCCAACTCCTCCAGGATATCCTACAGAAGATGAAAATGGCAATCCGTTGACAACAGAATTTGGTTATTCCGTTTATCGGGATCATCAAACTATTTGTCTTCAAGAAATACCAGAAAAAGCACACGCTGGACAATTATTAAGATCCGTTGATATAATTTTAGATGATGATTTGGTAGATAAAGTGAAACCTGGAGATCGTATTCAACTTGCTGGATGTTACCGAGCGATAGGAAGACCAACTCAAGGATCTTCGACATCAGCGACATTTAGGTAATTATTTAAAAAAAATCTAGTATATATATATATATATATATTTGTCAAATTTTATTTTAACCTAATTGTTATATCTTTTATTAGGACTGTCATAGTTGCTACCAATATTACAGTTCTTTCTGGTGATATTGGTCGTAAAGTAATTACTGATGAAGACCTCAAGAATATAAAGGAAGTTGCGAAAAGAACAGATATATTTGAATTACTTTCAAAATCTCTTGCACCTTCGATATTTGGTCATGATATTATTAAAAAGGCAATCTTATTAATGTTGTTGGGTGGTAAAGAACAAAATTTAGATAGTGGTACTCACATAAGAGGGTGAGCATCAAGTTTTTTGGTATCAATTCCCATTTATTCTCTTCCAATATACTAAAAAGCTGTAATTCATTTTAAATTAGTGATATTAATATATTAATGGTAGGTGATCCTTCAACTGCGAAATCACAACTTCTCAGACGTGTACTTAATATTGCACCTCTTGCCATCGCGACGACTGGTCGTGGATCATCAGGAGTAGGTTTAACAGCCGCAGTTACTCGTGATAAAGAAACTGGTAAATAAATTTTCATAAATAAATGATCATCTATTTTTTTACAATAATTTTAATAATTTTTCATCAAATTATAGGTGAAAGATGTTTGGAAGCTGGTGCAATGGTTCTTGGTGATCGTGGAGTAGTATGCATCGATGAATTTGATAAAATGACAGATATTGACCGTGTTGCTATTCATGAAGTAATGGAACAGCAAACGGTAACAATCGCCAAAGCTGGGATTCACACATCTTTAAACGCCCGATGTAGTGTTATCGCAGCAGCAAATCCTGTATATGGACAGGTAAGCTAAATTTAATATAATTTATATTAAATCTATTAATTATTCTTTATGTTTTCATAGATAATTGAATATTTATTATTTTTTTTTCTTTTTTGATTTGAAACAACAGTATGATGTTCACAAAGATCCTGCACATAACATTGCACTCCCGGATTCTTTACTCTCTCGGTTTGACCTTGTATTTGTTGTTACAGATATTTTAAATGATAAACATGACCGAGATATTTCCCAACATGTTCTACGATTACATCAGTATCGACCACGTAATCTGGAAGAAGGTAAAAAATATTATATATTCCTATCTCGGAAATATTCATTTATTTTATTTTTATTTAAACTTAATTAATTGTAATTATAGGTACTCCAATTAGAGAAGATGCAGGTCAAACTTTATTTATGGAACAAAATGAAAATATTTCCAAACCAACTCCTGTTTTTCAACAGTATGATTCACAGACAGATGATATTCAGGAAGATGGTTCACAAACAACTCAACTCTTATCATCAGAATTTATACAAAAATATATTCAATATGCCAAAAATTGTCAGCCTAGATTAAGCAAAGCAGCCGCAGATTATATTTGTGGTGTATGGACTACTCTTCGTAATGAAGAAGCCGAACGTGATAATTATAAAGTATCTTTCTTTTTTTTTTTGACTATTTATTTAACAAAATTTATGAACTCGACAAAATAATGTTACCAAATTTATTTAGACTTCACCTATGACTCCACGTGCATTGGATTCACTTTTCCGTCTTGCCACTGCACATGCAAAAGCTCGTCTTGCAAGAACTGTCTCCAAGAAAGATGCATTAGAAGCTGAAAGAATCGTAAAGTTTGCTTTGTTTAAAAAAGTGGAAGTAAAGCGGCACAAAAAAATTAAAGTAGCTGTATCTATATCATCTGATGAAGAGGACGATGATTCAGATGAAGAAGATTCACCTAGCGATAAAATTAATGGAAATAGGAAAAAAAGAGGGTATGATTAAAATGTAATTCCGAACTTTGATTAATTTGTATAACTTATATAACTTATGCTTTTTTTTGATAAATTAGCCGCAGAATAAGAACTCCTAGACCTATTACACCCTCAAATACGTCAAATGTGGAAGAAAATCAAACAATTGAAACAGTTGAGACAGGCGAAACGGCGGAAATAGGAGAAATAGGCGAAATGAGCGTAACGAACGTAACAGGTGTAACAGGCGTAACAGGTGTAACTGACGTAACAGGTGAAGCAAATGGTTCTAGGGATATTAACGAACTGCCACAACCAGTTAGAAGTGACAGTGTTTATGGGTTAGACAGTCTTGATATAAACGAAACCGAAGGGATAACTCCAGATCGGTAATTTAAAGTTTTCTTAAATAATCCTTATGTATACATAAATTCTTTTATAATTATTTTTATCATTAATTCTATTAAAATTTTATAGCTTGAGATTATTCCAAGAATTAGCACATCAAGTGTTATCAGTGGATGGCCAAAGATCTTTTGAGCATTTATTGCAAGATATCAATGAGAAATTATCGGAGGATCAAAAATTTACTATAGAAGAAGTAGAAGTGGCCATAAATAGAATGGCCGAGAAAAATAAAGTGATGTATACAGGTGGCATCGTTTATCGTATATAACTTTTAAGAGCTATGATCTCAAAGAATTAAAAGATCATGATAATAATGTAAATATAAATTTTACAATAATTGAATGATAATAAATATTTTAATAAATAAAATTGGGGATAGATTTACAATTACTATTTTCAATCAAAAATAATTTACTTGGATTTATTTGATCACCAAAGATCTGAATCTAATGCTGCATAATTAAGATTAAGCAAAAAAAAAATCATTGTTAATTTAAAATTAGATTAGCAAATGATATGTGAAATATTTATTAATGAAAGGATCATGCTTTCAAAATTGACTATTATATAATCTGAAATAATTATGAAAATAATTTTCATAGAAGACAACTATTTTTAATAAAATCCAAAATTTTTGAAAACAGATTTGGATTCATTTATTTCATTATTTTTAATTATATACATATTTCCATATATAGAAAAATATGGTAAAAAATTTTGAAAGAAATATCTTAAAATTTATTTTTGGATATGTATGTATATACATGTCACTCAAATTTCAAATTTCTATTTCTATTAAATTACTATAGCAAAAGTACCAAATTCCAAATTATTTTACTATGCCAAAAATAATTTGAGCAACATGTATAAGCAAGATAAACCAAATTTAAAATTTTACACTTGTTCTAGAAATACAATATTATAAATTCTTTAAAAAAAGTAAAAATATTTGGATATATACTACTGGGTCATAGCCAGTAAATATATACTAATTTTGCTAACTTTTGAACATAGCTTTTCTTGTTAAAATCTGAGGAAACAATTATACAATATATTGCAGCAAGTGTGAAAATATAGTTGAATCAGTTAAAGTCACATTATTCTATAAACTCAATTCAAAGTTATAAATATTATAATATTTCAAAAATTAGTATTTTAATTACTTAAGATACACTAGTCAAATACAAAAGAATCACTGTACTGAATGATAATTCCTATATTATAGATCAGTAAAAAATCAGAAAAAATTGACTGTCACTAGTCAAATAAAAAGAATCACTGTACTGAATGGTGATTCCTATATTAAAAATATACTATAGATCAGCTAAAAATCAATAAAAATTGACCATCCTATTGCATCCTATATTATAAATCAGCTAAAATCAAAATTCCTTTTCAGTATAACATATCTTTTGTATTTGACTTGTGCATCTTCTTACATCCTATATTACAAATCAGCTAAAATTAGAATTCCTTTTTAGTATGGTAATTCTTTTGTATTTGACCTGTGATTTTTTTTTTTTTTGTTCTAGTGTGGTCTTGCCCAAAATTTATTTATTAAGATAATAGTAAGTTTTACATTATTTACATAATACAAATATCAAAATTATTTTAATATTGTTAAAAAGATGAAACTCAGACTAATTCATAAGAAACATGTCTGCAACCTACTGCCTGACAAGTGAACTTGCCCTCAGCATGTTAAGGCCCTGCTGAATAACCTATTTTATATACCCCCATTCAATCCATATTATTATGGACTATTTTATATATATGTTTTCTAAGTATATTCTTAAAAATGTTTATTGTATTCTTCTTATTTGTTTTATTATTAACATTTATATTATTATTATGATTACTAATATTATTCTCACTGAAATTGTTATTGTTATTAGTATCTATATTATTGTTTGTACTTAAAATTTTTTTTCTACCTTTTCTTGTTTTTATATTATTATTAATTTCCCATTTCTTGACTTCTTTGCAACAATGGCTCCAAATTTCTTTTTGTATATAAGATTTAAAATCAACCATTATCTTGCATTTAACCTGTGATAAATTGTTCTCTAGATCATTTACATATATTTTATTATTATCATAATGAAAGTTTTTTTATAACTTGTAAATTAATCTAGTTTAACTTGTAAATTAACTTGGAATCAACTCATTAATTCACATATGACTTGTAAAACATAAAATACCATTATAAAAACATGATAGGTTGTAACTATATATATTTCCAAAATTGATTTCTGATTTTAAGATATTTTGTCTTTTTGAAATTTTTGAAATATTTATTCTAATATGGAAATAAAAAAAAATATCTAGTTTAATATATTTTCAATCAAAGAATTTATCTGGATGGTCAAAAAATTTTAGGTTTTAAGTAAAATAATTTTGTTTTCTATGAAAAAATATTTGACTTTTGAGTTCTGAAATATTTTAACTTACTATGATAGACTATTTTATGTGCAAGTATAGTTGTAACCCATATATTACAGTATTAAATATAAAATTCTAATTTGTTTAATTTGGATGTTGATTTATTAAGAGTACTATAAACTTATATGAACTTGTATAAACCTACATAAACTTGTATAGACTTGCATAAACCTGCTAATATTTTTGATTCAATTTGGAATTAAGGTTATATTTTGAAACTTAACTCAGAAGTTAGAATAAATTCCAGACTTGATTTGTTAAGAGCACTACTTATTTATCAAGATGACTAGTAATTTATCATAATAACAGGTACAGGTGTAAACTAGTAGAAAACAAAATATTGAATCAATATCTTACCTTCCTATCTAATTTGATACAATTTCTTGTAATATAGTCACTTTAAATTGTTTTATATCTTGAATTACAGGAATAAATTTTTCATTTGGAGACTTCTCTATAAAGAAAGGGGTTAAATAAGTTATACAATAAATTAACAGTGATTTCTTAAGTGTAAAATCATTAACTTTTGATGGCAATTGATCGGTTTATTTGTGTAACATTAATTTATGCAGATCCCAGATTTAATAAACTTAAAAGGTCACATTTCAAGCAACTAACTTTCGAACTTTCCGCAATCCACCACCACGGAATTCAGAGAATAGACAATCCAGTCCATAGGGCGCAATTAATACACTATTTCACAATGAATATAAAGTGTCAACAATTAATTCATACCAAACACCATCCGTCGTGCTATACGTCAAACCTTTGACACCCTATACGTTTAACTTTGAATTCTCTACACACTGATTATCACAAACCTCAGTCACACTATTGTACCAATTTTTTAATGCTTACATTAATGTTTATTACAGTATAAATAGTGAACAATGGTTTTTAATAAATAATTCAGTACAAAATTAATAAATATTTATAACTAACTAATTACAACAACTACAAAGATTTTCTTTTTTAAAAAAAATAGATTCTTAATAAATTTTTTACAACTTAATTATTATCAACTTTGACCATATGTTCAATTAAATCAAGACAACGAGAGGAATAACCATCTAAAAAAAAAATTTTTTTTTTTTGGAATGTGTGTGAGTGAATGAATGAATGAAAAGTAACTAATAAATAATTAATAAATAACTTACATTCGTTATCAGACCAAGTAATAAGTTTAACAAAGGTAGGGCTTAATTGGATACCAGCTCTAGCATCAAAAATACTGGAATGAGTATCACCAAGGAAATCGGAGGATACAACTTGATCTTCAGTATAACCAAGAATTCCTTTCAACTCATTTTCTGAAGCATGTTTAATAATTTTCTTGATTTCATCATAAGTTGTACCCTTTTCCAAGCGTACTGTTAAATCAACAACTCCAACATCAGCAGTAGGAACTCGGAACGCCATACCAGTGAGTTTTGTATTCAAAGCAGGAATAACCTAGTTACCATGGGAATAAAAGGATGATTATCGTAGAGAGATATAGTTAAAACTTTAGAATTTTATTTTTTTTAAAAAAAAAAAAATATAAATTAAAAAACTCTTTACCTTTCCTACAGCTTTTGCTGCTCCTGTTGAACTTGGAATAATGTTTTGAGCTGTGAAATAAAATTTAATAAGTAAATTTAATAAGATAATTCATTTTTCTAAAAGAACAAATAACATTAAAATTTTCAACATACATGCTCCTCTTCCTCTTCTCCAATCCTAAAATAAATAAAACCAAATAAATACTAAATTTAAATTTAATTATTAAAGAAAAATAAATTTACCTTTGCTGATGGACCATCTACAGTTTTTTGAGTAGCAGTGAGTGAATGAATGGTGGTCATCAACCCTTCAGCAATACCAAAATTATCATGAATAACCTTTGCTAAAGGGGCAAGACAATTTGTTGTGCAAGAAGCATTGGATACAACTTTATATTCTTTCTTATATTTCTCTAAATTTACACCAACTACAAACATTGGTGCATCGGGACTTGGGGAACTAATAATGACCTATTTGATTTATCGATTTGATTTATTAGGTTAATTGCCATTACAAAAGATAACACGTGCTAAAAAATAATACCTTTTTAGCTCCCTGTTTAACGAGAAATGAATGTAGATAAAAATATAGAGAATATTGTTAGAGTTAAAAAAAAAAAAATGTAAATAAATATGGTAATTGAAGAAATCGTACGCCTAACAATTTTAAATGAATTTTAAAATAATTATAATTAGGATTGTAATTAGGATTATTAATAAAACAATTATTAATAAACCTAAATTACCGTTCAAATGACCTCCTGCCTTTTCGGCACTTGTGAAAACTCCTGAAGATTCGACCACATAATCAGCACCAGCTTCTCCCCACTTGATATCAGCAGGATTTTTTTCAGAAAAAACGCAAATTTCTCGGCCATTCAAAATGAATTTTCCATCTTTAGCTTCAACGTTGCCCTTAAAACGTCCATGAGTTGAATCATATTTGAAAAGATAGACCTATTTAAAAAAATAAAAATTTAGTAAAATGACGAGACGACCTGACAACTTTTAATTAATCATTCACCATATAATCAAGGTCCAAGAAGGGGTCGTTTAAAGCCACTACATGAATTTGAGGATAATTCAACGAAGCACGAAGGACAAGACGCCCAATTCGACCAAAACTAAAATACAAAGTTTATTAGAAAAGATAATGTATTCACAATAGTAAGAGAAGGACGTATTACCCATTAATTCCGACTTTGATTTCCATAGTCCAAAAAAAAAGTCGAGTAATTAAAAAATTGAAAGGTCATTTTGTAATGGTATATATTTCTGATATGATAATTAAAAATATAATTACTTAAAATGGATTTATTTATATAAACAATAAAAAACAATGATAATCTATCATTGAAATTTGTAATGATAATTTATAATAATTTATGCTATTTTTATATAATTATCAACATCGACGAGTTTGAAAATCGAGATTAATCTTCCATCGAATCATTGGCAGCATTGCGAAACAAACAAATTAGTGGAACAAAAAAAATATCAAACCTTGTTTTGATGAAAATAATTTAACAAATTTCCCAACCTCAAAACAAAATGTTGAGTACTATTAAATATTATTATTAAATCTTATTTAGTCACGTACGCTAAAAAGAACTGAACAGCGGTTCTTTTTCACGATAAAAGAACTAAAAATGTATCTACTTTATGTGAATTCCAAAAGGTTCACTACACTTTACTACACTTTCAAAGTAGTAATTTATTAAACTTCTCATATTAACCTAAAACTCAAATAATATTCAAGTTTTTACAATTGGACTACATTACATTATCCAATCCTTTCATCGCCTATTTAATATGCGTTAAAGCGTACATAAAAGTTTTTCATTTATTAAGAAAAACGCCAAAAGAAACCTTAAAGCTAGAAATGAAGGTTTCAGATTTTAAATATATCATAAAGTTGACACGTAAAACCGCTAGTGTTTCTGTTATTAAATAAACTTTAAAAACTTTTATGAATGAATGTAATTTTAAAGAAATTATAGCCACGTTTACTTTCAACTCTACTCTTTCCTCCTTTCTCTTTTCTTTCCTCCTTTTTTTTTCTTTCTTACCTTTGCATGTTAAAATCCGCTCCTTTGTTATCATCTTTGTTACCAGATAAATTAATTTTGGCATCTTATAACATTTTGTTGCCATTTATGCATTCAAGGTAAGTTTATATTTTTTTTCAATAATAAAGCTTTTATTTTTCATTTTTTATTTTCGTCTTTTCGTTCTTATTATTACTATCTTAGAAATTATATTCACAATATAAAAAATACCCTTATCCGATATAAAAACACATAACCCTCATTTGTTTTTGACTTTTTTTTTTGTTTCTATAAAAAGAAGTTATGTAAGGTAGAATTATGTATATGCATTTTTTCGTCAATTATTTTCTTCAATCATAAAAACAAATTTTTCAAAAAAAAAAAAAATTTTTTTTTTTTATTATTTATTAAAAACATTCTCTTCTGATTCCTCGTCCTATATAAAAAATACATATAACCTTTTTTATCAACGGTTACCATTTTTTATTAATTAGCTGACTCGCCAAACGTTGTGGGACGAGTTTACACTTTTCAATAAGGAAAGTTAATACATAAAAAAATTATTTTATTTTACTTTACATATAATATAAGTAAATGTATTTTAATGTATAATGAATTTTTGTGGATGTGGATGTTATTAGAATATTCGAAAGTCATTCACTTATTTCTTACTTTTTACCTTAAAAAGAAAGGAAAAATAAAATAATTATGTATGATTACTTTCTAAAAATAATTCATAAATTTATTTTTTTATTTTAATGATTATTTAATCAAAGAAAGAAAGAAACCACATTTAAAAATTAAAGAAAAATTCAAAAATTAAGAAATACTCTTAATAAATTGAAAAAAAATTCTTTATTTTTATTGTTATCGCACACTAATGACTCATGCCATACTGATTGCGCAAAAAATTCGCAAAAAAAAAATTCACAAAAAATTCACACAGTACGGGATCTAAGGAGTGTGCTTCAAAAAAAAAAATGATGAATTTTTGGTATTTTTATAGGGTAATCATTTGTTATTATTCAAAATAACTTGCAGAACTTGTCAAACTCAATAATTCATTTATTTCTTCTAAAAGATACAATACATTAATAAATATTAATAATTAAAAAAATACAATGAAATTTTATTCTTATTATTTAATGATTCAAATATATAAAATAAACCTTCCATGAGATACAAATATACAAAGATATCAAATAGACATTATATTATACAAAAATAGTTTCATACAAAAAAAAAAATTATTTCCATTTTATTTTCAAATAGATTTTACATATTTTCATAATTTGTTTATTATTTATATTGTCTTTTATAAATGTCATTTGTGACTTTATTTTGGGAGGCTATGTGTTATATCTGTAGAGAATTGTCTTATTAGTTTTCTTATTTGTTTTTTTGTGTATTTTATGTAACTTGTGGTTTTGTCCGATTTTTTGTTACGCCACTTGAAAGGCAACAACGCCCCCACCCTTCGTTGTCTCGAAAACGTACATATTTGATATATTATTAATATTACTTTAAAAATATACAATACAGTTGATATACGTTATCAGTATTTTTTTTTGCATAATATAATGTACAGTATATTGATATATTTGTAATTCTCCTTACCGCACATGACGCATTACAATTCGATGACCCAAGACAATCAAGCGGGACAATCTTATAAAATAGCACCAAACATATCTCATTTTTTGTAATTCATTGTACGTTATAATCGTCACAAATTTTTGTTCTTTTAAACATAGCAAATCAATAAGAAAATTCATAAAAAGTATTAGTATTGATGCCTATTTTATAACATGCTATTTGCCTAAAATAAGAAATAATTTATTTAGTGTTATATATATTTTTTTTTCTTATAAATATAGCATCACTTCCGTTTTTTTTTTTTTCATTTATATATTTATTTAATTTTATTTAATTTAATTTTTATTTATTTATTTTTATTAAAAGTATATTAAATTTTTTATAAAACATTAACTTTACATGTATCATTTATAAATCTGTTTATTTAATCAGATTAAATAATATTTAGCTTATTTAATCAAATTTAAAAATAAACAAACATAAATACTCTCCTCTTATTTAATCAAATTTAAAAATAAATAAACAAACATAAATACTCATCTTTACATATCCAACGCAATAATGCCTTCAATATCTCATCACTTCTTTGAATTAAATTCACCAAAATTTAAATCTAATGATAAATCATTACAGAATATCAATGATATAAATGATATAAATATTTTTCCTTGTAACTTACCTGAATCAAAAAATTTAAGTGATTATCATTCTCATCGTCATTACCCTTCAATATCTTCTACTTCATCATCATCATCTTCTTCAACTTCTTCTTCCACATTAACAATGACATTAAAATCATCAACGACGAATACGACATCTTCAGTATCATCATCAACAACAAAACTTGAAAGAAATAAAAAAAGAGGAATTCCTTCTATAATGAAATATCCTGATTTCCCGGTGAAAGCTCAATGTCCAAAATGTAGTAAATTTATTACTACTAAAATTTATCATAAAAATGGAAAATGTGTTTATGTATTAGCTATGGGATTATTTAGTTTAACTGTTGTACTATTCTGGGTTCCATTCTTTGTGGATTCTTGTAAAGGTTTGTATTAAATTCTTTAAAATTTTTTTTTCTTTAATCTTTTATTTAAATATTATTTATTTATTTTATTTATTTATTTATTTTTTACAGATATAACACACATTTGTCCTAATTGTGATACTCGTTTAGGAACACGACATCGATTATAAAATAAAATAACTAGCTGTTAACACGTGTAAATTTTTCAAAAATACAATATTAATTATTAATATTTATTAATAATAATCACTAATAATAATCTACCAATAATAAAATATATTTCCTCAATCTATATATAACATAATTTAATTTAACAAATAAATTCTTTTTATGCGAATTAGCATTCTATTTTTAATTTATCTTTTTCCTCCTTTTTTTTTTTCACAGAAATCCCCTAAATCACATTCATTTTTCAAAAAAATTAGGTCATTCCTTCTAAAAAAGAATTTGTTTAACACAATGTTATAAATATTTATACATAATTTTTGTACAGATTCATAAATACAAAACACGTTAATTCATTTAACTTGTTCGTAATAGAAATTCATTTATTCAAAAATTCAAACTTTATTGTCACTCTTTCTCTCTTACTCTCTCACAACATTTCATAACGCATATGCATTGATAATTTCATTGTATTCATTGTATTCATTGTATTCATTGTATTTCATTGTTATCTTTACTTTCTTTCAAAATTTATAGTTATTCATTTTTTTTTTCTTTGATGGAATATATTTAGCTTTCTTTCATTCTGACTGCTATTATCAGTTGTGATTAATTATTATTATTTTTGAAAAAAACGAAAGAATAGCTAAAATCTTTTTTCATAATTAATAAAGAAAAAATTTTTATTTTATTGTATTTTTTGTCGTAATTACTATTGTATTTATATATTTATATATTATTAACATACATTAGTTATTTTAATTATTTGATTTTCAAAAAAAATATATGAATTTGGAGAAAATTTACAAATCTAACTATAATAATAAAAATAATAAAAAGAAAATTTTTTTTGTTAAACAAGATTATTTTGAAAATGAATCTAATAATGAAATTACAATTCAAATTGAAAATGACAAAAAATTTTCTGAAACCTCTAACATTAAACAAATTCTGCAACCACGACTCCAATGGACTATAAAACACATCCAGAAAGTTTTCAATTATACTGTATCTTTATTTAACTGCATGGTAAAGGTAATTTAATTGGTGAAATATCATGTTAAATTTATAAAGTATTTTACATACTTATGCATTAAATATGTGACTAGAGCAAATTATATGTAGCCCAAGTAAAAAAGTTGCAATCTTTTATTATTATCTTTCTTTTTAAATTTTATTCTCATAACCTTATAATTTAATACTAAAAATAATAATAATAATAATAAATTATTATTCACGTTATATTCTTATTTTTAATGTAATTAGCATTAGATCCTTCAAGTAATGACTAAATTTTTCCCATAGTAAAATTAAATTCTTAAGTCATGGCAAAAAAATTTGCTTTGAAAATAGATTTGAAATGTTAAGATATTAAAGAGTTTCGAATTTGAAAACCTCTTCTGGAGAATGTAATTTTTTAAAAATAATATAATTGGTTATTGGCATTACACCAATTACGCACATTTTGATAACTTTAGTAATAATACCAAATCCCACGTTCATTCCAGAGATTTTGCATCACTATAACACCTAAGAAAGTCTTCTATGTATTCATTCTGTCAATTCGTGGCAAAACTGATTTCAGCTTGCCGGGTTAGGATAGATAAGCGCGTAATCATTGACGAGCTTAAAGAGGCTTATCTGGGAGAAGAAAAAGAACACCTTCAATAATATTGGTTCTAACGACCATCTATATAAGGTTAATATCTGCGATCAGAGACGCAGAAATGTAAATTTGAGGCATTGCAAATATATCCATTTCCTATGATAGAAAGTGTAGTAGAGAAAGAATTTCTCTCGATATAAGCCTAAATACCAAATCTTTCAGAAACAAAGGCAAGAGAAATACTCTTTGTTGTTTTATTTATTATATAGCTCAACATATGCTCGAAGTTAAGAAATGGTTTAAGAATGTACTGAATAAAAAGAGCCAATGTGATATTTCTATTGGACCAAGTGGAACCCTTGTGTTTTGATTGAAACTATGAGAATTTTAAAGAGTCAAAGCTATAGGATAATTATTCAAAATTCAAAATTAAGGTTGGAACCGGTTTAAACTTTCGAAACCGGATCATCCGTGTGAAGTTTTGTGCTTTTTTTTTACGTTTTTTTTCGACGATTTGCGAAACATGGAACGATTTTCTACTAAAGTACTTTTATGATAGATAGAACGGCCTTGTTCTTTGCTACAAATTTTATATACTTCATTAATGTAGAATCGATATTCACGGAGTTATTCTAGTTTCAAGAAAAACGTCCGTGAAAAATCGGGAAAATTTTTGCTTAAATTTTTATAACGCTAAATTCTGTAGTAATTTCGCGAAGATTTTTTCAGACTTTTTTTTTTTTTTAAACTGGAATAACTCCGCGAATATAGATGCTACAGGGATAAAACCCATACCATTTGTAACCAACAACAAGGTTGTTCTATTTATCATATAAAAACCTTAGTAAAAAATCGTTCCATATTTCGCAAATCGTGTGCGAAGTCCAAAAAAAAGTATAAAAAAATGCAGGTAATGAAAAATTTACGCAAATTCTTTCCTCCTAAAATTTACTTTTAAATTTTATTTTATCTAGTTTAAAATTTAAACGTTAAACCTGATTGAATATAATTTGGGTGAAAATAGATTATGACAATCAAACCTTTTCTTTTTTACCATTTATGACGATCACCCGGTTACAATTTTAGGGTTAAATAAAAAATAATAAGTGCGTGCAAAAAAAAAGAAAACTAATTACAATACTTTGATGCAATAATTCATTTTTAAATTAATGATTTCTTTTGTTTTGAACTTTTTCCTTTTCCTGAAAGTACTTTTTACGTTTATTTATTTGTAAAGAGAGAATAAGATTCTGAAAGCGAGGAAACTTTAAAAATAAATAAAACTACTCAAATATGAATTCTTTTATACTATTAATGATTCACAAAACTTTTGAGCTAAAGTAATAATTACACAAATATAATATAATAACATAATAACAATGTGATAGTTTAAATACTTAATAACTTAATATCAATGTTGTTATGGATAATTTGGTATTTTAACAATGTAATATTAACAATTATAGTACCTGTATTTTATTATTACCATTATTCAAGAAATAGGAAATTAAATTCATTATTTGAAAAAAAAATGATATCATATTATTAAAGTTAAAATTAAAATAAAAATTAAAATAATGTGACCAAAAAGGCGTAATACGATGACGAAAATAATGTGGATTTACAATCATTATTATGTAAAAATTTCTAGGCAAAAGTTCGAAAAAAAATTGAGTCACAGAATTTTCTTTGATGTTCTTGATACAAATAGAAATTCTAAAAATATGCAAATTTCCCGATATTTATCCAATCCAATTTGAAATTTGTGTTCAGATGGGATGTTGTATAAACGTTAAAGTGGCTTGAAACAGGTAGTGTCAACATTCTTTGTGTTCTTTTGTCATCACACAGAAATTGAAATTTGTAATAAAATTATTTTGTGTAATTTTCCAAGAGATTTCTATGCATGATTACAACATTTTTCGTGAGGCTGATGATTCAAAAAAAAAATCAGTTTTTTAATTGAAAAAAAAGTATATAAAGGTCAGCCACAGTCAATGGCTCAAATCCATCAAATCAACAAATTATTTCTCAAATTTTAGAAATTTAATTTAAAAAAAAAAATTTTTTTTCCTATTTTGAGAATTTTTTAAACAAAAAAACCAATCCATTTTACAAACAAACAAAATAAACAATATAACAATGAATATTGAAATTAGAAACAAATACTGCGGTCTTTTAATGTTCAATACAAATAATTCATCTGAATTCGTAATGGATTCATCATTTTCTTCTTTTGAACAACCTGAATCTTATTATAAATCACAAAACGATTCTCAAGAAACTTCTATAGCCGCCGGTGCTGCCGATGTAACAAAAGATAATAATAACAACAATTACAATAATAATAACAATAACAATAATAACAACAACAATAATAAAAACAATAATAATAAAACATCTTCTGCTAAATCCAAAACTGAAAAATCTCCTCCTCGTCCACCAAATGCATTTATTCTTTATAGAAGAGAAAAGCAACCTGCCATTTTGGCAACTCATCGTCACCTTAGCAATGCTGAAATTTCTCGTTACATTGCTAGTTTATGGAGAAATGAAACAAATGAAATTCGTTTGAAATGGGAAAGATTCGCTGACCAAACTAAACTTGAACACATGAAAGCTTATCCTAATTATGTTTATCGTCCAAACAAGAATAAAGAAAAAAGTGAAAAGAAACGAAATAAACAAACTACTTCGACTTCTACTGTTCCTACTTATGTTTCTAATACTTCTGTTACTACTTCATCTGTTCCTTCGATTATTGTTGGTTCTCCTGATATTTTCGCTACTAATCAAATTGATACAGTTGGACCAATTAGAGTATCTACCAGAGGTCAACATCGTGTTAATGTGATTGATAGACCTCAATTGAATACTACAAGTTATACATCAATGTTATCATCGCCTCCAGATATTACTTCTTTTTATGATCCTTTGATGAGTTTTAATTATACTGATATTCCTTCTAATACATCCACCGCATCTTCCATTTCCTCTATTTCTTCCTCTCCTGAACATCAACAACAAATGAATCAAATAAACCAAATAAACCAAATGAACCAAATGAATCAAATAAATCAAATGAATCAAATGAATCAAATGAATCATTTTCAAGATACCCTTGATGACCTTTGGAGAATAATCCCAACTCAATCTGATGAAATCTCTCAGCAACAACAACAACAATTATCGGGAACTGATTTCTCGTATCATCAAATTACTGAATTATCATCATCATCTCCTCCTACTACTACTTCTCCTTCTGCTTCTACTATTCCTACTACTATTCCTACTACTATTCCTACTACTATTCCTGTTTCTATTCCTTCTCCCACAAATTCCCATACTAATTACCATGAAAATACAATTGTGGATCCTTCAATAGTTTATTGTAACAGCAGCAACAATGATAATTCTTCTTACTATAATCATCACAATCAACAAACTACTCTTCCATCAGAATTTGATTATTTTTGGAATCTTTAATTGCTAAAAAAAATTATATTATCTTTACATTTTTAATTTTTAATTTTTTATTAAAAAAAAAAAAAAAAAATCAAAAAAAAATATTTATAGAACTGTAACATAACATAACATACATTTCATTTGTCATTTTTATTATAGAATTTTTTTTTTTAATTTTTATTTTTATACAATCATATAAATCAATATTTATTTATTTTATTAAAAAACTACTATGTAAATAAGCAAAAATATATGCAGGCATAAAACAATAAATTAAAAAAAAAATCATTTTAAAAAAAGTATCACATGAACAAGTCATTAAGTCATTATGTTATGAAACATCAAAATCACATGATTAAACTTTTATGAAATATATGAAATATGAAATATGAATTTAAACTTTTATGAAACAAAATAAAATAAAAATTTATTTTAACAATTAAACAAGATTTCTAATGTTCATTCAGGACACATTTCTAATGGCTGTAAAAATTTTGTAATCCTCGGTAACATATTCTGTATCCTATTCCGTAATACTTCATCTTCGGATTTGACTTCCTGTAAATTGTCATTGTTTCATTGTGTCATTGTATTGTTATTGTTTAAAGAAATTAAGAAGAAATGAGTAAATAAAATAATTAATTAAATTAATAAAATAATAAAATAATAAAATAATATAATAATAAAATAAAAGATTTACCAAAGTATTGATGTTAACTTCAGCTACAGTATTATCTACTTTAACAATAATTTCACTATCTGAATCTTGTTTACTATATGCTTTTCCAAATTGTCTTCTTAAATATTCTTCGGCCGCTGTACGTGATGATAATGGTGTTAGTGAAGAGTCCATCATCTCTGTTGAATTATTATCTTTTGGATTTATTGAATCTTTTTCATCAATTTCCATTAAATTATTATCATTATTATAACTTTCTTCTGGGATATGAGAATGTTGAGATAATTCCACGACTGTAAATAAAAGTTATAAATAAATATAAATAAATAAATATATATATATATAAATGAATAAATATATAAAATATAAATAATTTGTTCTTACTTTTAACGGAAGCAGGACTACTCTCAATATTTAATAAAACTGCCAACACAGAATCAGCAATTTTATCATTCATCGAAGTTCCTAACCACTCAAGTTGAACTGAACTTTTATTAAGATGTCTAACTTTAACTGCATCTAAAATCTGTTGATAATTTAAAATGATTTTTTTAAATAATTTAAAATATAATTTAAATATATAAATCCTAAATATTTAAATATTTAAATTACAAATATACCGTTAAAGTTGGAACACTATCTTCGTCTAATACTTCTTTAAGTGGTCCATACATCTGTTCCAGATGATATTTTAATAGAGAAAAGGAACAATGATACGCAATTGTTTGTTTTTGAATTATCGCCGATGTAGAAATTCCACTAAATTCTTTCAGGTCATTAGAATCCATAATATTAAATTGGAAATCTTTGGATACAATAATTCCAGATACAATTTGGTGTTCTATAGGATATCTGGCAGCTAATTTCCCTATTGTCTGAAAATAAATAAAATTGTCATTTTATATAGGCATATATTTTATTTAGATAAAATTTATATATGGAATTTATATCCTTTAAAAATTTTTGGTAAATACCTTTGCTAATTTTTCTCCTCTAAAATGTAACCTTACCGTTTCGCAATTTTTTGGGGAATAAATCTTGATATTTTCTTCATGTTCACTATATTTGCTTTGTAATGCAGATTTCAATCTAGCCATTGAATTGGATTCACCATGAACAAGAACCTATTTCATATTAATATTAAATATTATTCATCATGACAAGAAAGATATATTACATTGAGAAGGTAAATATCATGTCCAGGATGTTGGGAAAAAAGGCATTGGTTATACAAACCACATGAGGAGCTTTTATCTCATCAATAAATTTACTATTTTGTGTGTAATCAACGTGAGCAGAGAAAGATATGTAGTCAACCTCCATGCGTAATGGAATTTTGGCCCCTGATAATGATGAAATTTCTGATGGTTCATTCATTGCGTGCTGATTGTAAAAAATAAGATCGAGTTATTTATATAAATAAATAAATATATATATATATATATTTGAAATTACATTAAAACTTTAGTAATTCATTAATTACCCTCGCCATGGTTCCGTCAACACAATAACCTGTGATGACAAGTCCATTTCGTTTATCGGGGCACCATCGTTCAAACAATTCTCGCGAGAGACCACTCTAAAAATAAAACAATATTGTAAAAATTATTAATAAACAATATTAAATAAAATAAAATAAAAAATAAAATAAAAATAAAGATTTTTGTACCTGTAACATCCCAGGACTTGCCATCATCACACAAGGCCCCACATCATCAAAATTATCCATATTCTTTAAATTTGAAATATGTTTAAAAACAAAAGGATTTGATATAGCGAATTGTTCACGAATTTTGGCATTCATCATATTTATATATGTCTGATAAACTGCCATACATTTTTTTGCTAAAGATGAAGCATAATATATGGGTACGGATTCTAATTCTGGGTGAGCTTCCCAATATTCATCTAGAATTAAGAGTAATTCTTGAGCACGGCCTAATGCAAATACAGGCATTAAACAACGACCACCTCGTTGTACGATTTTATGAACCAAACCTGAATTAAAGATTATTAAAGATTATTAAAGAATATATTATAATTATTATTATATTATTTATTTATTTATTAACGTGATTCATTTAATTTCAAGAAATCTCACCAGTAAATCTCGCTTCTTTTTCCATTCGTGGTTCATGACTTTGAACACCATATGTTGATTCTGTGATTAATATATCAGCTTGTACTGGTGGTAACTCTGCTGCCATCAAATGTCTATCTTCCTCCCTTGAATAATCTCCTGTATATAAAATCTATAGATGTTATCAATGTATTATTGTTATTATTATATCATTATTATTTATAAATTATTTAAAAATTTCTTTTATAACTACCTTTACTCCTGCAATCTCGATCAAGAACATAGCTGCTCCTAATACATGACCTGCATTATAACTAGTAAATTTTATTCCTTCGACTTCAACTTCTTGATGATAGTCCACTGCTTCTATTTTATCATAACTACGTAAAAGATCTTGTTCATCATAAAGTAATTCATCCAATGCGACATTACTACAGTTTAAATAATTTATCGAAATAAATCAAATGAATCGAAAAGGTACTCGATTTTTTTTTTAAAAAAAATACATATATATATATATAATTTATTTTTACCTGACTTTAACATAATCAGATAACAACCATTTATAAATTGCTTTCGTCGGGTGAGTCATAAACACCCGTCCTTGAAACGTTGTCTATGAATTTATGATATATTCTATATTATATAGATTTTTTTTTTCATTCTTTTTTATACACAAATATACAAACAAAACAAACCACACCTTTTCTAAAAAATATGGTAGAGAAGCGGCATGATCCAAATGAAAGCTATACAAAAAAATTTATTTATAATTTTTTAATACTAAAAAAGGGTCGAATACTAATAGATAAACGAGTTATGTGAAAAACATACTGACTAATAAGTAAAACATCAACTGTAGCAGGATCAATTTCATCATAAAACGGAAGTGCAGCAAGGCCAGTATATGCAGGGTGAACACCAGCATCAAGCTAATTGAATTGTAAAAATATAATAACTTTATTTATTCATTTTTCTTTTACAAAGGATTATTATTATTAAAATTATAATACATATCAAAGACTTTTCTCTATTATCTATCTTATTTTTAAAATAATTCTATATAAAAAAACCATTTAATACCATTACATTCTTGCCTTTGTATTGGATCACAAGACAAGATCTCCCAACTTCATTACCAGCACCCAAGGCTGTGATTTGTAAAAGATCATTTTCGTTAGAAATAAGAGTTGTCATTTTTTCTAATATAATTTTTTACATCATTTCTCACTTATGTTGAAATTAAATCACATGACAATGATTATCGTGCACATGACACCGATCGCGTATTGGTCTTGAAAGGAAGCGCCAAATAACCAACTAGGAGAAGGGGCGACATACTTTAGGCGTCGCCACGTCCTTCGGGCTCTAAGTTAAGCTGGACCGTATTGACTTGAACTAAAAATCAAACCGATGGGTCGATACTATCGAGAAGCCAAACCAAACCGATGACTTGAAACTCTCAAGTCAAACCGGTCCAGCTTTAACACTAACGTGTGACAAAAGTATTGCTTGAACATTGCGCGTCATTTTTACATAATAATATTACCATTTCTAGAAACAAAACGATGCGTAGTCAAATTAGACTACAATTAAATTCAACTTATTTGTAGTCAAAATTGGACTACAGTTAAATATAATTTATTTCGTTTACTTGTTTTAAGTTTCTGGTTTACCTGAATTCATTAAACATCGATTTTTCAATTTCTTATTGATACGTATGACAAAATGCTCGATACAAGCGTAAGTATGACTTTTTCATTTTTTGAAGCGATTAAATAAGGATTTATGCTCATATTTGATGCGTCTGTATTAGTTATCACAACGATGTATTCTTGCAATTGGAAATACGGGAAATGGGAAAAGTTTTACAGCAACCATTTTTGGGGCTCAAAATGTGAAAATTGGACATACTTCCAAATCTGAAACTCATACAATTACGATTTATCCTATTAATGGAGGATTCTACATTGATACGCCAGGGTTCGATGATTCTGACGAAAAAAAGAGTGATGATGATAATAAGCGTTCGATTTTTCTTAATATGTTGGAATTGAACATTCAGAATATAACAACAGTATTGTGGTTCGTGGAATCTGACATCAGAGCAAAAGCCTCGTACGAACGTCAAGCAAGATTTATTGAATCTTTGGCACAATATGATACCGGAAATGTATGGGATAATACCATCCTCGTCATTAAAGGTACCTCTGACGCAAATAGTCAAGGCCCTCGTGATGCTGCCAGAGAAATAGCCCAAGAAGTACATCACACCAATGATGACTTGACTTCAAATATTGGCGAATTTAAGATTTTTTTGTTCGAAAGGCTCCTACCTGAAAGTATTTATGTTAAGGTGAGATTCTCAAGCGATCAAATAAACGAGTATGGTGTTTTTAAAGAATCGGAACCAGAACGAATCCTCGCAAGGTATGAATCATTAATGAAGGGACATCATGAGAATCCGATACGTATCAACCTTAGAAAAGTCAAGTGTTCTAAATGTCCCGAAGAAACAGATCCAAGATTAGCACTTCCTGAATGTCATTCGGAAATGGAGTCTTTTCACCCAAATACGGAAAATATTCATCAAGGAAATGTTATAGATATACATTCATCATCTTCTGATTTTTATAAACATTCTGACACCTACGTTGAAGCCAAAGAAAAACATGTGTTTGATGATAGTCCTCAAGCTTGGACGGTTCGTGTTTTTACCTTTGGAGGAATTAATCCTACTAGGCCTCGGTTAGAATTCGGATATTGGAAGTGCTGTAATAATCGAAATGTCAATTCACGTGGATGCAAGCAAGCTTATCGGTGCTGCGAAAAAGATATTCAATCTCCTGGATGTCAAAAGATTTATGAGGGGTGTAGACACAAGCACCATGAAGCGCCTTGTCTTGAAATTTGTAGATTCTGTATGAAAAGGTCAGATACGGAAGGTTGCCAAAAGAGATGCAAGAATTGCAAAAAAGATCCACTTAATGAAAAAGGTTGTAGCAAAGAAACAAACCATAATTTCATCAATTGAGTTTTATTTTTGAAATATATAAAATTAAGATATTAAAATAGTATATAAATTACTACTAAATTTTCATTGTGCAAATTCAATAAATTGAATTTATTTTAATAAAGCATGTAATTCATGTAATTAATAAATTAAATCTTTGAGCTTAAGTGGTAATATTAGGGAAGAAAGGTTTCATCTCCTTTATATATTTTTGTTCTTTCTGTTTTATCCTTAATCTTGCCATCGGCCGGCTGTAAAACTTTAACTCCATTTACAAATTCAAGTGAATAATAATACCAGTACAAAATTCTCTTTTTGATCTTTTAAAGAATTTAGTACGTGAAACTAACCGATTCGGAGATAAAGATAATTACAAAAATTTATTTTATGTTATTATTTATCATAATATAATAACATAAATGGAATTAGAAATTTATATTACTTAAGCATTTGAAATTATCTCGTATCCTTTTTATATACTTTACTTAACGTTATATCTTTTTTATATATAGAAGAAGTAGAACTAGTAGATGAAGTAGAAGTTGATTTTGAAAAGAATTGTAAATCCAATAATACATCTACCATAATTTAAAATAAATAGATTCAAGATAAATAGGTTGCAACCTCATGACTAGTTGCCGTAATCCGTAACTCTGGCCGCAATCTGTAATTCTGGCCGTAATTCTGTAGTGATCGAACATATATAATATTTTACATAATTAAATCCAAAAACGATACTAAGTACTGTAAAAAATTTAAACCAAACTTACAAATTGAGAGAATCATTATTTCAAAATTTATATATAATTATTATAATATGACATAATTACAACATTTCCGGCCAGAATTACCGATTGCGATCAGAGTTACAGATTACAGTATTATTGGAATGTTGCAACTCTTGCTTACATTAATCCTGGCATCTTTAATTAATAATATTTATATTTATGATAATTTCCACTTCAATATCCATAATAATATAAGCTGTTTGGAATGTCTAGATATCTAATGATTTAATAAACGAGTTAAACTAAAATCGAGTGATAAATAATCGATCACATTTATCACATTATTTATCAAACTTTATTAAGAAAAAATGTCACCGGATGTCGCAATTTATACAACATACTGTTTATAATCCTGGTCCGTAACATATTTTTATTCAAAAATGTGTATATATCATGTGTAATAGTGATAAAATACATAATTTCTCCAAGAATAACAATAATTTTTTTTTTCTTACCGTTATATAGATATAGAAAATATTTTCACTTGTAAATGTACATTATTTATCTTTTTATATTTCACTTGTGCATATTAAAAAAAATTAATATGTTATTAATTAGATTTGTACACGATAAATAACTTTTGTTCTTTAAAACTTTTTTTTTTTCTTTAGAACATTATTTATTTTATTTTATTTTTTTATCTTTAAACGTTTTTTCATTCAAAACAATTATAAAAGGATATATAACTTTTTACTTTATAATTAAGCGAATAAAGTATTTTTCAAATAATTTAATTATCCCGATTTTTGCTGTCTCTAAGGCATATTATATATTGCACTATATAGTGGTTGAGAATAAAGAAGACGCGTAAAATGAAATCTTTATACATAACACGATTGAATAAATATTGACATTTCCTCATTAAACCATTACACTTCAACTTCATTACATCTTGCACGTTCAAAAATTTTTTTTACTATTTACATTATATTTAAAACGAAAAGATAAAAATTGAAAGAATTTCATTTAAATGAAGGGATTGTTAAATGATACAAGAAGGATATTGTTATATAATTAGTAATTTGGTTTTTAAATCTTCATTTTTTATCCCTATAAAAAATGTAATCTGGAATATTTTCATGATTTTAAAAATGACTTCATAAAAGGCATCAAAAACAAGTTATTTCAATTCACAAAAGAAATAAAGAATTTTCATTTGTAACTACAATAAAATTATAAGTAATTTAATTAAATTAAATTAAAGTTAATTATTTTGTCAAATATTCTGTATTAACAGACACTTTTTACTTTACCAATAATGAATATTTATTAAGCATAATATCGCGAAAAAATCCGAACCCGCTGATACTTTGCATATTCTGAAAAAAGTTGTTTTTTAATATGTATAAAAAACGAGTTTTTTTTTTCGAGTTTAATTAAAAAAACGCCACAGGTTTCAAACGTTGGGGCAAATTAATGTTTATTTATGTCGTGACCATAGTGATCATAGTGATCGTACGTTCTTTGAGGTGCGACACGTGACAATTGAAGTGTTTCGATTTCTTTTTTCACTAAATTTCACTACTAATAAATTTTTTTTTTAAAAAAAAAACGAGACTTAAATTGACTATTGAAATATTTACGCTACTCGATATATATATTCCGAATTTAAATTATTTTTATTAAAGTGATTTTTTTTTATTTCTTGGGAAATTTTAATTAATAATAAGAACTCGTGGGAAACAATTTAAAATATGTACGTCATAATTTTTCCGACATAATCAAATAAAAATAATAAATAATAAATATTTACTTATTTTAATATCTTTTAGATCCAAAAAAATCTATCCAATATCGAATTCCGGAAAGACATTCAGTACATTATACAGTACAGAAATACTATTACAATAATAATACGGTAATAGTACATTAATAATAAAATTATTTAAATTCTCATTGTTTAATGTTCTCTTTTAGCTGATTTAATGAATCATTTCGAGTTAGTTTTGTTTATACCAAATAATGCATTAAAAATTTCAAATACATAAGTAACAAGAATTTTTTTGATTGTTCGTGACGTATTACTACTTCTCTAATAATAATAAAGAATATTCGGTACACATGCATAAATGACTAAAAAAATACGCACGGCTGATATCAGTTATTATTGTAATTATTGCATGTATGACTCATTTATTTTATAATCCATTATATTTTATTTCATTATATTTATTTTATTATATTTCATGCAAATTTCTGCAAAACAAATTATGCAAATGTTCATAATTAGAATTTTTTAAAAAAAGAAATGGATTTTTTTAAAAAAAAAAAAAGTTTCGAGAGATTAAGCAACACGTAAATATCACATTAAATTCTCATTCTGATATTAGAAAGACGCGCATACATGAAAAACCAAACAACAATGAAATGTTTGACATATAAAAACACATACGCATACATTTTTATAGACACACATACATTTTATAGGCACGCATACATTTTATAGGAACACATACATTTTATAGGCATAACAATTATCTTAAAAAAAATAAATAATAATAATTATTAATAAGAAGTCGAAAAAAGAAAACACGGCGTATTTTTTAAAGCATTTACAGTATTTTGGTATAAATATAGTATATAATGTTTGTATAATAGTTTCCACAAATTTTGCTTAGTGTAAACCTTTGAATTTTTTTTTTGGAAATTGATTTATGTAAAAATTACACATTACTGTACGAAATTATAAATTATATATATTTATATAATTAAATGTTCAAAATAAGAAAAAATTATAATAGATATATTCATTTGATATATATAAATATCATTTTTAAAGGATATAATAATATTTAAAGGTTCGAAAGAAAAATATGTGCGATATACGGAATTTACTTACAAGAATGGAATGGATGAATGTTGTATAATGTAACCATATTTGCAACAACAAATAAGAATTAAGAATTTATTTATTTTTCTTTAATTATTATTTTCTTTCTTTGTAATATATATATATATATTTGATATGTATATTTGTATATGAATATTAAACGTTAATATAACAAAAATATATTTATGCATATTTCCTTAATAATGACAATTAGAAGAACCAGAAAATTGTTATAATAGAAAAATAATAGAAAATGGAATCCAAACTAAAGTAAAAATATGTTATAAAAATTAAAGTAAATTATGGTATTTGATTTTTCTTTAATTTAGAAATAATTTTTCTATAAGATGAAAAATTAAATTTATTATGCTTGATCCCCAATTTTATTAATGAAATTGACCAGTTCTTACGCGAATTACGAATTAAGCATATTTAACTTAATATCATTAAGAGACAATTACAATTTCGTGACACGCGAAGTAATTATCACTTTATTATTTAAATTTGAATATAAATCACGCGTATTTCTCATTTATCATTTTCCGTTGTACAATACTATTTATTCACCATAGCAGGTAGATAATAGATTAAATTCGAGAAGATTTTATGATTGTCTTTTTTTCTAACAAAGAGTAAATATTTTATTAACACTACTAAAAATTATATTATGTGAAAAGGGAGGGATTTGTTTGTTATTCAGGAATATATGAAAATTTTGAATGTGGACAATTAATTCTTCTCCAAATATAAAAAAACTTTATTTCAATAGAATATGTTATTCAAAATGAGTTTGAGTTAGGGAGTTGGTCTCAAGTGTACATAAGTCATGTAAATTAATGAAGAAGAGAAAAGTTTTTAGGAGACAAATACACATAAACTTTACTGAACTTCCAATGTACTAATATCAATTCTTTTGCTAAAACCTAAAAATAAGGATACTCGGGATTATATTTTTTGATATTTCAAAATATTATAGTACTAAAAAAAAAAAATATTTATGTCTAAAAATATAAATGAATAAAATCTCAAAAAAATATTTTTTACACAATGACTTACATTCCTTTACATTCACATGTCACCTTCATGAATATAATCCTTTGAACTAAATATTTTTATTTTATGTACAAAAAAATATTTGTAAACTTTTTCATTGCAAATTACATGATAAACTGTACAATAATGTATTTACGTTATCTTGACCATATGACGAAATAAATAAGAAAGATAAAGATTATTATTTTTGATTATTTTTATTATTGGTCCAGAGAGAGATTAAAGTTTAACATTTCATTTGAATCTATTAAGTTTATAAAACATGCTTATAATATGCTTATCGAATTCATGTACGTATTTATATTTATATTATTTTATATCCAAATTATTATTTAAGTAAATATCCAATC